GGACGAGACAGTCCCAGAGCAGCACAGCAGCTCCAGACAGCGATACAGCTCTCCTGCTGCTAAAACAACAGCACGTCTTGGTGAACTAGAAAGTAAGCTGAATGTCCGTGGGCAGGTCATTTAACGTTACCTGACAGGGTTACCTTTCGGTATCTAAACCCAACCAAACTGCAATGGCTTCACATCGTCAACAAAGCCTCTCGTGCTTAACTTGCCATTTGGGTTTAATGCATTAATCTGGTGCACTTTGAAAGCAAAATAAATAGGCAAGATCTATGAGGAACTTTGCACTATTTTTTTTAACAATTTTGTGCTCTAGTAAACAATTTGATGACACAGCAAAAAAGCCAACGTATTTATTTAATGGTTTTACAGCATCCCTAAATAAAGGAATAATAAGTAAGTAATTTCCCTAAAATTTATTGTCTTTTTAACTTTTAATGGACAAATTTAACGTGTTTTATACTTCCTGTGAATATAATCCAATTAATGTTATTTCCATACTGTATATACGTTGTGTTAACACCTTATTTTGAAAACTGGACGTTGTCACATGTGTATCCGTTAGCAATGTTATTGTTGTTATAAAAAGTGTAAAAATATTTTCGCTTCATTTTGAAACTATGACGGAACAAATTAGACTGTTAAGTTAGACTAATTAAGTTAATTAATGGAAAACACTGCAAATATCCAACATAAAACTAACTTCACAGCGGTGCAAAGCGTTGTCCCCTCATAAAGTGTTGAATTTGCGACACAGTGAAATAAAGGATAGAGCATCATTTTAAACAATAGACGTTTTGCTATCGTCAAACTATATATATTGCCGATGTCTATGAAGATTCTCAGTCATCCAGGTCATAGTTATCCAACGAGGGTTAAAATGAAGGGCAACTGGACTTGGTTGAAGCTACTGGAAGACGTTTCGTCCCTCATCCAAAGGACTTCTTCAGTTCTGACTGACTGGCAGGGAAACTCAGCTATTTAACCTCAGTGGGGTCGTTGGCCCGGGTCATCGATACCGCTGGTTCGTTAGTGTTCCTGGTTGCTGTGACGACAGTCGTTACAGTCGTTAAGACTACCGGTGGCCAAGACTGAACGACCATCGTTGGTATCTTCACCTGAGGCCAATAGGTTACGTTTGTTGAGTTTCCTGGGAAGTGATGAAAGGACAGCATTGTAAGTGGGGGATAAGTGGTGGCGTAGACCCCCTCCCCTGTTCAATGACGGCTTCTCCACCCTGGTGTAGATGCTTCCTTGACGCCTCTTTCAAACCATCCATCTTCTCTGTCTAAAATGTTCTTGGGTTTAAACCAGACCAGCATCTGTCTTAGTGTGTTCTTGGGTTTAAACCCAAGAACACACTAAGACAGATGCTGGTCCACCCCAAAGACCGCACACCCAAACACAAGAAAAGCAATCTAGTGTATGCGGTCCAATGCAGTGAGGAATGCACAGACCTGTATATTGGGGAGACTAAACAACCACTACACAAACGCATGGCTCAACACAGAAGGGCCAACTCCTCAGGTCAAGACTCTGCAGTCTACTTACATCTGAAGGACAGAGGACACTCGTTTGAGGACCACCAGGTGCACATTTTAGACAGAGAAGATGGATGGTTTGAAAGAGGTGTCAAGGAAGCATCTACACCAGGGTCGAGAAGCCGTCATTGAACAGGGGAGGGGGTCTACGCCACCACTTATCCCCCACTTACAATGCTGTCCTTTCATCACTTCCCAGGAAACTCAACAAACGTAACCTATTGGCCTCAGGTGAAGATACCAACGATGGTCGTTCAGTCTTGGCCACAGGTAGTCCTAACGACTGTAACGACTGTCGCCACAGCAACAAGGAACACTAACGAACCAGCGGTATCGATGACCCGGGCCAACGACCCCACTGAGGTTAAATAGCTGAGTTTCCCTGCCAGTCAGTCAGAACTGAAGAAGTCCTTTGGATGAGGGACGAAACGTCTTCCAGTATCTTCAACCAAGTCCAGTTGCCCTTCATTTTAACCCTCGTTGGATATATATATCGCCATATTGCACAGCCCTAATAATCACAGAACATCTAGACCATTCATACCATTTTAACAGTAATTGTTTTTCTTTGCAAAACCAATGAAGAGATTTGAAAGAAAAAATCGAGTGGGGGTAAAATACATAAGGATGTACGCAAATGTCTCCATAATTCCCGCGCCACACCACCTCTATGAGCAGCTTGTGTGCATTATGGAACCTCTTGAACCAACCTGAATCTTCTCTTTCTTCCCTCTGTCTGCAGGAGCATTACCCAGCAAGGCAGACTTGCTCATTGACCCAGAGATGGACCAGGAACTGGACAAACTGTAAGAGCACACGCACACACCTGTATCAACAGGCACATACATACAAACTGTACTGTACTGTACAGGGTGACTGGGATCACAACAGCCCAATAGATTTTAACATGCTTTTATTTTTCTTTCCTTTTGTTGTGCTGTTCTCATTTCACTGCCCTCCTCTCTATTATTTACTTTTTGTCTTCTCTGTTTTCAATGGCTTCTTTTCTAACATCTCTTCTTCTCCCTAAATGTATTTTCATGTCCTGTGCTGTCCAGAATCGCTCAGATCTCAGTGAGTCCTAGCAGCAACAGCAGTGGCAGTGCAGTGGGGGGGCTGAAGGAGGTGCAGAGGAAGGCCTCCCCGAGGAGGAACATCCACCACAGGAGGAAGATGGAGGTGGAAAGCGACGGCTCCACGGAAGAGACTGACTCCTCTGAAAACTGACCTCTGCTGTGTGGTCATGATGGTGTGCAAGTCCCGTGTCTGCACATGGTCATGTGACATGCGGCTACACTGCAGTGTGTTTTGAACTTTACTGTGATCTCTCCAAACAATGTTTGTGTTCCCATCAGTATTGGTTGGCAGTAATCTTTTTTCTGTAGCTGGTAATAAATATATAACTGAGTTTAGTATCAGCAATAACACTCAATTAGTATTATATAGTAGAGTTAATACTCAATACAATCTTCCCTGTAATTCTGTTGTCATGTTGGAGAGGCAACTGAACAACATGAAATGCCAAAACTCCCCAAAACTTAACTAATAAAGTTGTTGTAGGAACTGTAAAATTGTGGCTACAGATTTCATTGGTGGTTTAACAGAGACAGGAATAAAAGATAGGAACCTGCCGGGTTTGATGTGGAATGATTGTAAATGCTTGATGAGTAGCAAACCAACCTTACTTATAGCTTACCAAGTTTCCTGAAGAAAGTAAAAAGTATGATAAAACGTCCAGCATTGATCGCAGCGGCAGGCAAATGTTCTCAGTTTCTCAGTCTGTTGTGTTGAGCAAGTTGAAGAACAGGCACTCTGAACACAATGACAGGAAGTTTTAAAGGAATAATTCCTGCCTGGTCACAATTTGCACAGTGAACAGCTCAAGCATCAACTGTATTTATAGTGCTAATTTATTTATTTAAGTTTAGTATTTGTCAAATGCACAGCATATACAGTGAAGCATGAGTCTTTGGTAATGAAATTCTTTCATATTAGAACATGTTTCTTTCCTCAGATCATGAGGATGATGACTTTTCTCCAGACTGTGTAATCTGCACATTTTAATACTCATATTACATTTATTTACAATTGTATATCTTTGAGATTTTAGCCTTTATATTTGTTTTCTAATCCTTATTTTTGTACTGCTCACATCTTCTAGAGTATGCCACTTCTGCATTTCACTGCACACATTTAAAATATGAGTATGTGACAAATAAACATTTGAATCTTTGAAAAACAAAAAACTAGGGTTCTTACAACTGCCAAAGTTTAGTCTTCCAACATATCCATACAAAGCAGTAGGCCTGAAAGTAGCAAACTTTAAATCATAAAAATGTAGGAAACTGACTACCTTCTATAAAGAAAGGTCATTTGGTCCAAACTAAGAACATGTATTCTAAGTGCAGTTGTAAACATGATTTATTGACAAGAACCAACATCATCACCATCAGTCTGTGCATCTTCTGTGCGTCTCCGTTTTACAACATTGATATCATGCGGTGTTACACCCAGGTTTTGGTCAAACCAACAGCATACAATAATAAGTCCTATACAAACATACATACAGTCTCTATACAGGATACACCTATATTGATTTGAGTCATGTACAGTAGATCCCCATGGTGTCAAAATCACAAAAGAAATACATAGAAAGGACACTTTCTGGTGGATCAGAGCCACTTCCTGTGGCAGACCTCAGATGACAAGAATGGAAAAGAACATGTGGACATTACGCTCCATGAGGAGTTCTCCTCTCTTCCACGTTGCCACTGACATTCACTTTAATGTACCCCTGTATGAATATCAAACAGAGACTTGAACTTGTTTTGCAATCCATCATAGTGAACTAATCGTCTCTATATTTTGCCAGTGTAAATTGTTGAGGGAATTGTTTTGAAACTGCTCTGAAATTAATGGAGGATGATGGCTGTCTGGAAGGCAAGAAATGGTATTTTTAGTCAGTAAAAGGTTTGCCCTGTGTAAAGGGTGATACAGGTTTTGGAGACTAATACCACTATTTTCAGACAGAAGCTACGTGCTTTTTATAGATAGATATTCAGTACCTTTAACCATTTTCATGTGAAAATGTGAACATATTAAGCATTTTATGCTCCGTGGCTACGAAAGCAGCGAGATCATGGGACAGAAAAATCTTTTAAGAATATGAATACTGCAAGGACTAATGCTGCCATAATCCTAATAATGACTTCTACTCACAGTGAAAATCTCACCAAGATGTTGCATTACAATCCACAGAAAACTGGTGTAATGTTGGCCAGTTCTATAGTAAATATGTAATCAATCAAACGGCATTGGACCACTGACTGAAGAACAATACCAGCTGCATATACCCAGTGACACACCTTAACATTCCATAGCAGCCATCTTGGGTGTACCAAGTCATATCCAGCGATGATTGACTACTCATAAGAGTAGTAGACAGTAGAGACTTTATTGTCATAAGAGAGACTTTATTGTCATTCATCTGTATACAGCGCAGTACAGTACATAGAGGAATGAAATTGTGTTTCTCCTGGTCCCCGGTGCTAAACTAAAAGACTGAATGGTGTGACAGCAGTTAATACCGAGGACGGTCATCACTACACCAGAAAAAAATAGGCACTGTTTTTTGAACACAAAACATTTCAACATTTCAGGCTTCATTTCCGTTCACTTTACCTGCTCAAATCTATATCATAGTTAAACTGCTTGTGCTACATCTTCACAAGCAGAATCTGATTGGCTGGAATTCTGATTCTTAAAGCAGCTTTAACTGATATTTTGGACATTTTGGTGCAATAGGACAAACTGAAAACACATTACATTATAAAAGCATATCTTATGGGTTAGCAAATATTTGTCTCTTTACACATTCAGCAGACACAGGATGACGTTGATAAAAACAAATCCATTACTCACTTTTGTTTTAGCTCTGGTCTCCACCAATTCCTAAGAAAAATTGCTTTTTAGCTGCTAAATGCTCCGCTATGTTCATCTGATAGTCGCTCGCTTTGTCTGTCTGCTGTTTGGTGCTGGGCAGGAAGCGGACTGTGGGTTTATCTGAGCTCGTTTAGCTGAAAATAGCTGCCAAGCTGTTGCAAGAAACAATAAGGTTGACAAGAGCGTTGTTTGTGTGCTGGAAAACCAAAACAATGAGCTAAAAGAGGCTAGAAATCTGGAGGTAATAGTTATCACCAGGAGTGGTTTCGTCCCTGTGAGTGACTCATTTCACATTGCACACAGAAATTTGATCCATTGTTGTTCAAAATGGAGATTGCTGCAGCTTTAAGTCTGGAGCTCAGCTTCTAATGGCTGTAAAAACAGGGAGGAACTACATCAGAAAATTTATTCTCTGTCTGTACACAACGAGAGCAGTGCGTGGATCAGTTTGTGAAGATAAGTATTCAAATGTTAGAATTTAGTTTTAAAAATATCTCAGCTAAAAAACTGAATCTCAAGAGGAGTAAATATGACCCTAATCTTGGTCCCAGATTTGAGCAGGCAATGTGAAAAAAGTGTGAGCTGAAAGTGACTGACATGACTGCACAGTGATCCACCATCCCACCAGTCGGTTGTGTTGCACACACAGTAAATTGCACGGTGTCATCTGGGCCTTGACAGAGTTAAAGGAAGTATGTCATTGCTCAACCAGAGAAACTCTGTATGAAGAATTTGTACTTGGAACAACATTTGGAAGAAAAGGAACATCAAGCAGCAAAAAGAGAAATGAGGCACCTTAAAAGCAACTCCAAAGGTCTTCAACAGTAGATTGTCAAGTCTGGGGGATACAGGATTCAGAATTATACTTGTATATTTTTTGGAAACATCTATCTGTCTTCTGTGCAAAGAAACAAGCAAGTCCATTTTTTTGTTGTATATTCCTTCAAAGCACGGCCTTTTAAACTGCAGGGGAAAACTGTTGTAAATAAGAAGCCCTTCTTTATTGTAAAGTCAAGGATGAAGCTAATTTAAAGACAGAAGATTTACCTCCTTTTCAAAAACATGCAGTGTAGCTTTGTTTTTAGATTCTCATAGCTTAAGTGCGTGTTTATGGTTAGCAGATCTGCCTACCAAGCAGGTGAAATGGGTTTGATTCCAGGCCAATGTATTCTGCAACATACGTATGTAAAAATGAAACGCTTGTCTCAACTGAAACTGGTTTGACGTACAACACTTAATTCTCAGAGAAATATCTGGAACTGGACCCAGTAGCTACACTTGTTTACCCAAGTGAACACACTGTTCATGACCACCAATATGGCTGATCTATGCATCTACTCTCCATTAGAATGTCATTTTGGTCAACGGAAGTAACTCCATTGCACTCCCACACATAATTTAGACAGGAATAGATCTATCGCATACAAATCTTACATAAGCAACTACATTTCGCTAATTTTCCTACTAGTTAAATTCATGCATACTTTGATTTTAAATGTGCAATCTTTTTTTTTTATTTTAGTCAACATACTTGTCACACCTTTAAATAGAAAAGTTTGCAAACTGGAATTAAAGGTTCAGAACTTTTTAGAATGCACTTAGTGTCCTTTACGTTTAACCACATGTCAACCATCAGTCACTAGCAATAAAAAATGGGCTATGGGCTATGCTCCTTTTCTCTGAAGTGCGTTCATCATACCGTGACATAAAATGTGACTACAAATTAAAGATTTAAGTATTGTTGGAAGCAGTTTTATATTTTACTACCTGATCGTGGGCTTAAGGGATGCCAAAAACAGTTGCCAGAGCCCAAGGTGATCTTCAAATTGCTTATCTTGTCTGACCGAAAATCTAAAAACACATTCAATTCACAATGACATGAAAGAGCAAAGCAGCAAATCCTCTAATTTTAGAAGCTGTGACCATCAAATGTTTGGTCTTTTAATTTGCCCCATTAGCGGTGTGTCAGTTGGTCCAACATTTTTTACAGACTAAAATATCTTGACAAATTGGATAAACTGTGATGAAATATTGTTGACATTTATGGCCACCAAAGAAGGAATCTTAATAACTTTAGTGAACCCCCATGTTGAGACGAGATGTCTCAACCGCCCCAGACTTTTAATCCAGTTTGGTTCATGACCTGCATAACTAATGACATTCCCATGGGCCTCAGCTGTACTGTGTTTAGTGCTAATTAGCAAATGCTAGCTGCTGACATGGCAAGCATTACCTGCTGAACATTGTATTCATGCACATGTTAGCATGCTGACATTAGCATTTGCAGTAGCACCGGTGTGCTTAAATACAGCCTCACATAGCTGCTAACAATGTTGATGACTTGTTTTTTTAATACATGACTCAAATGGTTCACATTGATTATATAAACATTCTGTCAGTAAATTAACTCCATAGTCCTGTAGGCTGTCTATACGATAATCCAATATTTACATGTAGTTACATATGAGTAATTTTAGCCCATAAAATATATCAATATCAGATATTTGTGTTTGAGTTTTGGGAGGTCTATGTTACATTTGTTCTCACTGTATGGGACATCTCATGTGATCCTATCCATCCTTAGAGGTATTTATATCGTGACATGGCCAATGGAAGGAAAAGCTCGCTGTATCACTAGATGCAGCTATGAAAAGAAATCCACCATGCAAGTATTCTGACGAATGTATATCTGTGGTCCAGTTTGTGGTGTAAGACCAGGCTTACATGCACATAGTGAGTATTCAGTACATAGTGTGGATGGAGGAGAGGTGTTATTCAATGAAGATGTCTTCAGTGGGACAGGAGTAGCCAATGTGTTCCTTGTAATACTGCTGGAATGCCCTCCTGTGGGACACCAGAGAAGAGTATTAATACATTTGATTAGAAAACAGGTAATAACAAAACACAAGAGACGACAGCACACATCTGTTTTGTAGTATTATATATGATAAATATAGTGGAGGAAAGCATTGTGGAGTACGGAAGCCCTAAGCAGCTATCGATTCAAAATAATCTTTACTCCGTTTTCCTGTGATAAGGGATAATTATCTGGAGATCTCGAGATAACGAATGTTGTATTTCCGTGATAACAGGATCATTTTCTCATGATCTCGAGATAACAAAACAGTAATTTAACACAGGGGTCGGCAGGAACGTTTCTTAATGGTAATTCGGTGAGGCTAATAGTGTCACTGGTTTGCTTAGTTGGCAAGACTCACAGTCTTATGGTTGCGTTTTTGATCCTTACTGAACACCAACTTTTTTTCTATTTATTTTTTTCATAATCCTCTTCAACAAAGTTCTCACATGCTCACAATAAAGCACATGATGGACTGTGTGCATCCCAACGATTGGTCCACATCCATCAACCTATGGACTTTTCATTTCCCCATCATTCCCAAGCAGAGGAAATTCGTTTACACACTTCCTGACAGCTATTTCAGAACCTTTGAAATAGCTGTTGGTAAATGTGTGATTGGATTCCCCTGAATCTCTTCATAACAACTTTGCTAAAGAGGAGAATTAAAAACACACACACTGAGAACAGGAGCTGAACACACAATCCTTGGGTTATGAGCCTGTGCTCTACCAACTAAGCTAACCATTAATGAAATTATCCTAAAGAAACACACCTGCTCACCCATGTATTGAGCTATGGCTTGTTATCTTGACATCATGAGAAAATGATCCTGTTATCACAGGAAAACGGAGTAAAAAAATACAGTATTCCCCTTGTAACTGTAATGGAGTACAAGTATAAAGTAGCAAAAAACTGAGATACTCAAATAAAGGTCAAGTACCTCAAAATTTTACTTTTTAATTTTACTTTTTAATTAGTTACTTTCCACCACTGGTCCTGAGCAGATATATCCAGTGACTCTGGTGACTGACCTTTCTACCAGCACAACCGTCAGCTCAAACTTTCCCCACACAGTTTAGACAAGAACTATCAAAATCTAAGGCAGCTTGCTGGCCAATCAAATGCATGCAAGCTCTCGATACTGGTGGATTACTCTGTATTGTGAATGGTGTATCACAGTTTACTTTGCGATTGTCACAACTAAAGATAAAATAGTTGCAGCCGTGATAATTTTCCAGAATGCTCTGCTGTTTCTGGTCTGAATATGGGTATATTACCATGAAAATACATATTTTTAAGTTGATTCATGAACCCTTTCTTTTTTAGAGAGAAGGTTTTGAGATATCTGTGAGATTTGTGCCTCCATCTCAATATGCTAGAGGTGAAAGGAAGTTAGTTTGAAGTGCTGAGAGCACTGAAAAATGTGTCTTCTAAAAACAGCAGTTTCCAGTTTCTCTGGATAATGCACAGAACACACTGTCAACTGTTTTCACTGGAACTACTTTCTACTGAGAAAATAGTCCCTATTTTGGACAGATACCACTAGGGGCAATTCAAAAAATGTGTATAGAACATAGAACAGAAAATTAATCAGAATAGAATATGATATAATAGCTCTTACCCTACAGACTCAGCCAGAGGATGTAGTGTTGTCTCTGACATCATCACGTGACAGGCAAAGCGCTGTTGGTCGGGGTGTTTGGTGATGAAACCAAAATACCTGCAGTGCAATAATCAGCATTAGTCAGGAAATCTACAGTTTAGAGGTTTATTTACAAATATGTATTGATGCCAACCTGCTGTAGTAGACCAAGCACTAAGCTTAAATGTGTGAGCGTTACATCATTGGCATCAAAATGAAATGTCACTTAACAGACTGTGAGAAAAGGTACAATTTAATATAGTTTAATACATTTATCATGCAAGTGTGGGCCTTGTGGGACTGGGATTAGATCAAATAATCCTGTAAAGCAGTTTGACTCACTTGCTGTGTTTTGGATGACAGCCACAGAATGAGATGTTCTTTAACTGGAAGAAATGGAAACACTGGTCCCCCTGACACAGAGAGAGAGAAATAATGTGAATGAGTTAAATACGTATGTCTTGGTGTGTGTGTGCAAGGCTGCTAAGTAGAGCTAAACCTGAATAGAACCTGGAATATTATTACTTTTTTGTTTGGTTGGCTTTGGCCGGGTTCTACATCATACAACACCTTCATCCATCATCTGAGAACACTGATTAGCACACCCGATAACTGCAGTATGTAATGTTTTTGTGTTATTGTATTGTGTTAAGTAATAAACTTGTACACCTTCCAGTTTAAAGTTAGTTTTCTGTCATGGCCAATTTCGTTTCTGTCACAAGCCAGGTTATGACAAATCGGGGGGGGGGGGGGGGGGCCAGTCCGTTACGCAATCGGTAAGGCATTAAACTGGCTTGTGAATGAGCTGACGTCATCTTGAATGGGTTCTTTTAGAAGGCTGTGCGCTACAGGGGACAGTAGTGGGTTAAAGATAAGTTGAATGATTGGTTGTGTTTTGTGAGGCAGATTAGGTAGAGGGGATTTGACTTGTTTTGGCTGTTTTTGCAGGGATTGTCTCAGTCGTTTTTTTTGGCAACCGGGAGTTTAACATTTGAGCAGCAAATAAATTAACAAGTTGATTATGTAACAGAAGGAGTATGACAAAATGAAGAAAAAAGCAGAGATTAAAAGCACTTGGCGTTGGAAAAAATGCATTATCAGACTGAACAGGCAAAACTGTCTTTCCAGCAGACAGAAAATCCCATACCATATCAGTGATCAGAATGGCAGATGACTATGTTTTAATGCACAAGCGCAACTTTGGGGAATTACACATTCACTGTTTTGAGGGGAGTACCAATGCAGGTGGTGTGTATTCTCTAACTGTTGTCTTAAAAAGGGTATTGGAAAGGTGATCATTATGCTCTTAAGGCTGAGTCTTGACAGAATAGGGCTGTGGTACAGGTGCGGGCCTGGCTGTGTCTATGTGTTTGCGGTTCACGTAATAAATGACTGGATGCAGGAAAAAGCTTTGCCTGGTGAACTTGATTGTTTTTTGCCTTTTGTTTCAGATGGTTTGGTTTGGGAAGTGAGGTGAAAGCGGCCATTTATTATCCTGGATGACACTGCTGCTCTTGATTCCTTCATCCAGGCTTCAGTTACCATTTTCAGAGGAAGGTGACAGGGGGTGCTCTGTTCTTGTTTTGGGAATGGGCATGAACATTTTGCAGACCCCACTGCACAATTTTATGCTGCAATCCGATCTCTTTCAGTGACTGCCAGTTGAGGAGGAGGTACAAAATAACTCTCTCTGGGTTATTATTATGCACTGTTGGTAAGAAAATGGGTGCCTCATGGTAACAGATTATCCAAGTAGTAAAATTCAGGGAGTCTGTGTTGAAATTGGCTCACGATGAACTCTGAAAACTGGGGTGTCAGGAAAACATATGATCAGGCACTATGGCTTTTCTTTTGGCCCTGTCTGAATAAAGATGCCCCCACCAATGTTCCCTGCACGGGAATGTGTTAAAACCATATTACTTTCTGCTAGATCTGTCCCAGTCTCCTCCGTAGAACACGCACCTGGCACGTTCAGTAGGGGGAGTGTCTGTGGCAGCTGCGATGGAAGACGGGTAATCGTTTACTGGAGTCAAAGCAGGCAGATTTATCTAAACTCATCTTCTGCTACATAGCAGACAGTATACATGAATATAAAAAGAATTATAAAAATGTATTCAGTGGAGCAGTGCTGAGGATGAATTTGAGTTTAAAACTCTGATAGCTTGGGGGGAAAAGCTGCTCTGCATATGTATACACAGTACTTATACATACATCAATACTGTAGATGCTGGAGATGCTCCGCCAGTCTGGCGGAGATTCTATAGTTAACCCTGAAAACCATAAATATTTGTAAGTGAGGTAGATGTTATAACGCCAAATAAGATGGACTCATGAGGAGTCCATTTCAAGTTGCATAATGCCCCGCCAACATTTCAGAGGCCTATAACCAAAGTTTTGGGGGATGTGGAAGTATGTACAGGGGTGTACTCTCATTTGGAGCGCATCTGGGCTCTGTTCAGCCGTTTGGCTGAGGGGCATCTCACGTCAGCCTCGCCAAGTGTGAGTTCACATTGGCGATGGTCACATACTTGGGTCGGGTGTCAGGCAGGGTACAGTTTGTCTGGTGAAAGAAAAGATCTGTCTGCTGGGACACTACAGAAGCTTTTGTAGTAGTGCCACTTAGTGATTTGCTGATGGGAAAAACAGCTTGACAGAAGAAGTCAAGTTAGTAACGTGCATTAGTGGAATAAGGATGTATACAGATGAGAGGGAGAGGAGAAGAGAAGAGCTCAGTGCATCATGGGAAATCCCCCGGCAGTCTAGGCCTATAGCAGCATAACTAAGGGATGGTTCAGGACTACCTGAGCCAGCCCTAACTATAAGCTTTATCAAAGAGGAAAGTCTTAAGCCTACTCTTAAATGTGGAGATGGTGTCTGCCTCCTGAACCCAAACTGGAACCTGGTTCCACAGGAGAGGAGCTTGATAGCTGAACGCTCTGGCTCCTAGTCTACTTTTGGAGACTCTAGGAACCACAAGTAACCCTGCATTCTGGGAGCGCAGTGCTCTGGTGGGGTAGTAAGGTACTATGAGCTCTTTAAGATAAGATGGTGCCTGACCATTAAGAGCTTTGTAGGTAAGAAGAATGATTTTAAATTCTATTCTGGATTTTACAGGGAGCCAGTGCAGAGAAGCTAGTATGGGACAAACAAGGTCTTATTTCCTGTTTCTTGTCAGAACACGTGCTGTAGCATTCTGGACCAACTGGAGATTCTTAAGGGACTTATTCGGGCAGCCTGATATTAAGGAATTAGAATAATCCAGCCTAGAAGTAACAAATGGCCTTGTTTTTCTGCATCATTCTGAGACAGGATGTTCCTGATTTTTGCAATGCTGCGCTGGTGAAAAAAGGCAGTCCTTGAAATTTGTTATATGTTAGAGTTAAATGACATGTCCTGATCAAAGATAACTCACAGTGTTGCTGGAGGCCAGGGTGATGCCATCCAGAGTAATTATATGTTGATAATAAGTCTCAGAGGTGTTTGGGCCCCAGTTCAATAACTTCAGTTTTGTCTGAGTTCAACATCAGAAAATTGCAGCTCATCCAGGTTTTTACAGCTAACTGATTTTCCCTGTTTTCATCTGGCTTGATCAATAGATATAGTTGGGTCATCATCAAAGTTCATAAAATTGTCCAATGGAAGCATAAGGTGAATAGGTTTGGTCCAAACACATAACCATGTGGAGCTCCATGACTAACATTGGAGTAGATGGAGGATTCGTCACTACATGTACAAACTGAGATCGATCTGATAGATACTCTCTGTAAGTGGATGTGATGGTCAGAGGTGCCAAATGCAGTGCTAATATCTAACAAGACAAACTGGATCTCATTTGTAAAAACTGTTGTAATGTGATGGATAAATTGACCTTCTACCTTCTAATAGAAACAAGTCTTTTGTCTGATGCAATTAGGAGGTAATTTGTCATTCTCTGTGCTATGATGCACTTTAAATCCTGAATAAAAATCCTCAAATAAACTAATGTTATGTCCCAACCCAGTCCAAGGGCTCTCTCTATTCCTCCAGCACCATGTTTTTATTTGGCTGGCTTTGACTGTGTTACAAGTTTAGGTTCTGGGTTCACAAGTACCTGCTGCATGTTAACCATTAGCTGGATTTAAAAGTGTGACAGGTAGGTGGGTAGGTAGGTATACGTACCCTGTGAGCAGAGTGACACTGGTCCTGGACGCTGATCTTCACACCCTTCACACTGACCTCCAGCACACAGGCTGAGGGAGGCTGACCAGCCAGCCGCCTGTTACACGCCACCTTTTAGCACAAATAATCAGTAAATCAGTCAATAAACATTCCTGTGGAGCTCTGACTATCAGCACCAGGGCTGGTTTTGAAAAATATATTTTAAACTGGCCTGGCCTGTGCTTAATCCAAAGTATAGAGAAGTTGAGACTCAATATTGTTTAAATACGGGAATAGTGCACATTTCCAGACAGCTTCTGCTAGAAGACATGCCTAGTGTTGCACCAGGTTCTAGTTACAATGCTGCTTCCCTATTTTAATCCTGCCTACAATAATCTGAACAGTGGAATGTTTCTCCAACTGCTGAGAGCATCACCAGGCATTTTTGAATTGAACACATCTGAGATTAGAGGTCTGGGACTAAGCTACATCATGTGGCCATTAGTGACACTAAAGTGTTAACTTAAAGTAATCATGTGTTGGATTTGTATGAGATTATAACATATTACAAATCATTCTGATGGCATTTAATTTTGTTTGGAGAAAATTTAGACAAAAACATTGGCATAGGCTATGTGTTTCTTTCAGCCCATTTATTCTCAGGGTCCCCAAGTTAAAGGGGGACAGAAATTGTTGTGACAAGCATGAAAAAGAGAGCTAGAAAGTGGGTGTAAACCCTGGCTCCTTTTCCCCTGTTGTTATTACTCATTTAGAAAGGAGAAAAGGGATGAATGTAACAAATAAAATATAAATCAGAAAAAGTAGCCTGTGCTTTTGGTAGGTCAATGCTTAGTTACTTACTTCCATAACATAAAAGTTGTATTGTATATATATATAATGTAAAGACAAAAGAGCAAGTCTAATCTGATCATGCTATACTTAGGTAAATTGGACAAAAAGGACAGGCTCTTTTTAAAAAGCAGTTGTACTTTGCAGCTATTAGCTTTGGTTGTTGTCTTTACTTGCCACCATATCACCGATAATGAGATTTCATTGTGTGGTTCTGTTGTACAATGCCTGAGTTTCTGTACCTTCTGCATAGCAGCACACAGCACGTCGTTGCCTTTGTGGATGGGGACCTGAACTGAACCCAGGAATCGCACTAGGAACTGCTCTATCCAACCATCTTTCTGGACTGCGAGAAGAAAGGAGAACAAAGAATCTTTAATGATCAAATGTTGTTGATGATGGTGGTGTTTTTACAGTCCAGATCTTGTACCTTGGTTAATATCTTTGGCCACGCTGACAGCGTAGAAGGCAGGGAATATACCGGTAGCTCCAGTCCTCATGTTGTAACCCTGACACCACAGGTCCTCAGACTGGTTCAGCATTAATACTGGGTCATCTGTCTCTAGCTTCAGTTCATCTGCATGCCGAGGGACAAACCTAAAAACAGGCATAAAAATATACAGATTTCAGTGTAATGTTTATTTGGATGTGTCACAATTAGTTTGTGTATATTCATATGTGTTAACCTGTAGACAGCTCTGTGGCTCTGCTGTCTCTCCACTCCATCCAAAACACAGGAGAACACACCAAATGACCCAGCACCTGAATAATAACAGCAATGATGTTATACACACAATCAGCAGCTTACAGTTTGGTTTTGCTTTCTTATTCATCCTGTAGTGAAAAAACACAAACTCAAGTGATCCAATTTTGACGGACATATACAAGTTATCTGTTGGAGCCCCCGTGTGTGAGATTTGGAACATTTTTACTTTTCCGACTCCTGGTGTTAGTATGAAAAAGGATACTGGGGGTGACATTAATGCACACCGTTACTGAAGTTCCACCCCTTTAACTTGGGGACCCTGAGAATAAATGGGCTGAAAGAAACACATAGCCTACTATGCCAATGTTTTGTTTAAATGTTCTCCAAACAAAAATAAATGCCATCAGAATGATTTGAAATATGTTATAATATCATGCAAATTCAACACCTAATTATTTAAAGTGAACACATTAGTATCACTATTGGCCACTAGATGTAGCTTAGTCCCAGACCTCTGATCTCAGATTAGTTCAATTCAAAAATGCCTGGTGTTGCTCTCAGCAGTTGGAGAAACATTTCACTGGTCAGATTATTGTAGGCAGGATTAAAATAGGGATGTAGCATTGTAACTACAAAAACGACTTGTGAGAGTTTTTGGAGCTTGTGGCAATGACATGATGTGCTTGACATCTTCTCAGTAGCTACTTAAAACTACAGTATGATGGCTCATAGTGGCTGTTAGTCGCATGTTACTGCCTTACAGATAGATTATTCCAGCTCTCTAGAGATTTATGCCGCATTCAAACGCGAATTACTGACAACAGACAATAGCAAGAGATGTATCCACACTATGCCTATTCTCTAGTCACTGTGCTACAGGGGATGTCATCTCTAGTGAGCTGAATTCATGGAAAATAGTGACAAACAAATGACAAATAGAAATTCAGTCGGATTATCAGGCTACACCAGATGGTGGCTCATCACCGGCTCCATGAAGACCTATATCGTCTCTAATGTCTAGTTTTTTTTCACTTTACAATCTGGTCTCAGTAACTAATTTCACTACTTCCAATGTCTTTTTTGTAGGTAGTTTTGAATTTTTTTTGTATATTTATCCCACAGCATGGTACATTTCTTTACATTTCAGCCCTCGAACATGTCGAAGTTGACAACTGAAGCCTCAACATACTCAATTACCAACTAAAATAAAAAGGTTGTATGCAAAGACACATATAGAGGTGATGAATATAGCCAACTTTCAACATGTATACTGTATTTCAGTCCTGTCAAGACTAAATCATTTTTGGTATTTTGGTATTAATGCATATACTGATAACCTCAGATCATATTCCCTCTCTGTCTTCACTGTCTGTACAATATAAATTTGCAGAACTGAACTATGATGCATACAGTCTTATTTGATGGACAAAAGCAACTTTAATTGGTTAGCTCTACTAGTGTTGTGTTCAGGCTACACAATATTTTCATGTGTTAAGATGCTCATTGTGTAAGATTTGCTTTTTATAGAGACATAAGTTCTTGTGTGGACTTTGCGTAGAGACATGATTGACCATTCGTTGGTCCCCAACCAATCATTGCTTGTGTATGCGTGAATGTTAGGTAATGTGGATGTAGTGTAAAAGCACTTTGAGTGGTCGAGAAGACTAGAAAGGCGCTATACAGATACGGAGCATTTTTATCAAAAATGTAAACAAACAATGGTGTCTGAGGCGGTGTGTTTCACAGTTCCGCCTAGTGGCATGAACAACATGCTAGGTGTGTTGCACTCCTGTTGGTCAACGTCATGGACGTGACCGAACACTTTGTTGAAGGCAAAAAACATTCTAACAGTCATTTCCTCATGACGTTGTGACGTCGTGAGTCGTCCCAGATGCGGCGTCGGTTGAGTCCACTATGACACACTACGCGGGATAAAACAATTGATTGTCGCACCCGATGGCCATTGTCTTTCCTGACCCAACCAGAGACAGAGCTGATATTGTACAGTTTGAACCTGATGTCATGAACATATGTCATAGGAGCCCGAACATTAATTAGACATGTATCACCTAAATAGTAATGTTTAGAAACAAATCATTATTTTATTTTAATTAAATCGCTTAGCAGTTGACACCTTGTGTATGAATGTGTGTAAATGAGTGAATGTGTTGTAAAGTGCTTGATAGACCAGAACAAGTTCATTTACCATTTAAATATTTGGAGAATATACAAACCAGTGGCACTGTAATGGCTGCTGTTGTTGGCAAATAGGTTGAGGAACTTCCTGCTTCTGGAAGCTCCGACCCTTCCTCGGCTGGACTCGTCTTCCTCTGAAGTTGTGGTTGACGTTACCTTGGACTGCTTAGAGATCCTTGCCACAACTTCCCTCCTCCTCTTCACCTCCTCCTCCCTCTTCCTCTTCACATCCTCTTCCCTCCTCTTCTTCGTCTCCTCCTCCTTTCTTATCTTTTCCTCCTCTTTCCTCCTGTCTTAGAGCACAAAACAAGAGAAGGTTAAACTGGCAACCATGCAACCAGATGGCATAGGTTTGATTTCACCTTCGGTCAAGCGGCTCATTGCCACAACCTATTTCTGGCATTGTACATATATAAGCCCTACAACAAACTAGCAAAAAAGCAATCTACTTTTAGCCACTGTTGTACCAACTCATGTAACTTCACTGATTTGTGACAGAAATGTGCTCAGCCATGCTAAAAATGAATATGTATCATTACCTTGCTTCCTTGCTTCCTCTGTCCTCTTCCTCTCCTCCTCATACTCTGGGTCTTCCTCCTCATTGGCTGACTGATAGACCGTCTCTGTATCGCTGTCATCATTGTGCTCGAAACCATGCAAGCAGTCCTTGATGCTGACCAGCTCCAATTGAGCGTGTTCATCGACCACCAGAGTGTATTTAGCAGTGTGAAAATTTAACCCTGCTTTACCTTCACTCTTTGGTAGAGTATGAGCAGCCACACAGTTTCCTTCAGTGACAGAGTTGGTGCCATCCACCTTAGTATTATTGTCATCTTTTCTTCCCCCTGCTTCCACCTCTGATTTGGTACAGTCCATCTCTGTGTTTCCATTACCTGCAAGGCAGAGGGTTGGACCATTCTGGGTGTTAACACAGGCAGTTGGATCTCCCTCCCCCTCTTCTTCACTGATGTCAGGGTTAATTCGGTGGGATAGAGAAGGATGCAGGGGCCCTGGTGGGGGGCCCTCTGTGTCTGAGCTGAGGGACATTCTGTTTGACCCCCCCTCACTGCTGGACCGAGAGAGGACAGAGGGGTTGTCCTGAGTCCTGTCATGGTTTTGGCCTAAGAACACAAAATATGGACAGTGGGTAGACTTAAGGAGCAATAGAAAAAAATGTGTTTGGGAATAAAATATGGACTGTGGTTGGATGGATTTGTGAACACCTCAAATACTACATATATGTAGTATTTGTAGTATTTAGCAGGAAAAAAGCACTACACAGCTACTACACACAGGTTTATATTTTTCCCTTAAGCAAGGCTCAGGTTCCATTACACATGCTTAATGGCCAGTAATCGTAGATTGGAGTGGTACAGACTTTTTTGTATACTATAAATCTGCACCAATAAATGTTTTTCTTCATAGGACAATGGATCAGATAACTTTGTGTGTGTAAAGGGGTTTCTAGTAGTGGCAAAACCATAGAGAATTATCACCAACTTTGCAGTTCCCTACAACTCTAAGTTTTCTGGCCCGCAACTTGACTCTTTCATCAACCACGATACCAGCAGCAGGCAGCTTTATCTTCTGCCCTCAAGGTGCCAAAAAATGAAAATGAAAAACAGTTTTCAGTTTTAAATGAAATTACAGATCAGTACATAGTGTTAAATCTTTAGAAATGCTCATTCCCAAGAGGCCCTCTTGTGGCCCTCATCGTGCACAGCTTTACATTTTCAGATGAATCTCCCGACCCTCAAGTCATCCACAGTTGTCCTGACCCTTTCATTAGTAAACAGTTTGGGAAAACTTACATGACTTATACCATAAGACACTGTACTAAATACACTACGTTTTTTAAGTTATTTTTCCGGGTTGCATAGTTTCTTTGGAATTTCCTAGAACCAAACTCATTTGTAAGTGTAATTTCAGAGGAAGGCTCCTGGAAAGTACAGTTAATATGGTTATAATAACAGGGGAATTGAAGGCAGCATTCAGTTGGTTTCTTCTATTGAATTGCTAGTGTAATCTACAGAGTAGATGTATTTCCAATTAAATGCATAATTCCTTGGGACTACATTGATCAATATTAGGGGTTTTTTGTGGCTTTTGGTTTTTAGAAATTCTTTCAATCAAATTAATTTACTCAACAACTGCACCATTTCCCTGTTCTGTATTGAAATGAAATGATTCACTCTTATTACGCAGAATAAAGGTGCAAGTGTATAAGCCAGTGAAAATGTCCTTGTTGCTAGAGACTACCCGCCCTTTGGCACCCACCCAATACCCACCACCCTGCGCTCTAAAAACGGGTTCATTACCTTGATCTTGGGTCTTGTCCTGGTTTCTTGGCGCTACAGGTGTGCGTGGGACCACCATCGCTGTCAGTACAACTTCCTGGTCAGACAGTATGTTATTTGGCTTCAGTCCCCCTCCTCTGTTACCCCCTTTAGCAACTACTTTTCCTTTCCCATCAGCCCCCTGGCTTTTCAGTCCATTTGCTTCTCTTGGCCTCTGATGTCCATTCCTCTCTTTCTCCTTCCCCTTGGACTCCTCACACAGTCTTCCTCCTCTTCTATCTTCCTTCCCTGCTGACACTCCATCTTTTCCTCTGATGTCCCCCAGGTTTCTTTCTCTCATTGCTGTCACTCCTCTTCCTACCCCTCTTCCTCCTGCTACTCGTCCTCTCCTTTGACTCCTCGGTGTGCTGGAGGACTGTGTGTATGTGGCCCTGGACACCGGCCTTTCCCGCGGTCGAGCACGTATGTCTGCGGTGGTGGCAGCAGCCTGAATGTTGGCTCTGCTGTTGGCTCCATTGGTTTTGGGAGATTTTAGGGCGGGGCGGCGCGTGCTGTGTTGGACCTTGTCCTCCGCCTTTGGTTTGACACCCGGTGGTGTAAGATCCCCTTAACACACACACGAAAACAAACAAAAGTATCAGACTATGTATTAGGCAACCAGATGTATGCAGAGGGATTATCAGATTAGCCTACAGTAAGCAGTTGATCCAGGATATGAGTTACAGGAACAGAGGAAAAATCCACACATTTCAAATATTTCAAGAACATTCTTCCTTGAGTGTTGTTGTCACTGTTACGCATTTGCCTCCTATACTTTTTAATTCCAAAACATGTATTTAACTATGTTTGCCTGTAATGGTCAACCATTTACAATGGCCTGAATGCACTGGACATTTCTGAAAGTGTCCTACCACACAATTATTTGAAAGTTCCTTTTGTTTGTTATCATACACACATGAAAAGGCAGATAGGTTTTTCAAGGTTAAAAATTTTGATCCCATGTTGCAGAATAGGTATAACACACACTGTGTAGATCAAATATGGACAAAAATATCCCAATTAAAACCCATTAAAACATACGAACCGCCATTAGATTAGATTAGGTGTAGACACACACAACTGCAATTTTCTATAAAATGTGAAACATTGCATTGTGGGATTGTTTGCAAAAAGTTGTACAAATATAATGAATGGACACTTTTTTTCAGGGCACTAGTAAAGTGCTTAAATTCCACACTTAATTAAATGGCAGGGGTTAAATATAGTGCACAATATGGAAAATAGGGTGGGATTTTTGGACGCAGCTCAGACATTTTGACTGCAGTAATTGCTGGAACAGAGCTATCATTAATGTTTTGAAGGGCAATTGACCGTTCGCTAAGCCCCGCGGAACGGCCACGACGATTGAGACAAAAGACAACGATATGAATGATCAACACTGTTCCTGTAAAGCAGGGTAGGCCTCTATTCATTATTACAATCATTAAAAAGCAGAACAGTTGGATTTTATAACGTTACATTCAGTAGTAAGCTAGCTAGCGTTAGCTAACTAACATTACATTAGGAACGATCCACAGCCGGATTTATTTTAGGTTTTGGAAGGAGAATAAGTCGTACTTTTCCTTTCAACCTCTCTGGTAATGACTGTAACTATTACAAGATGCTCCAGGAAAAGCTAGAAAATGACTCTTTTTGCATTAGAGTCAATGCGCATCCATGAAAGTGTGGGACCTCAGTTGGAGCAAGTCCTATACTGCGCTGTTATTGGCCAGCTGTGTATTCAGGGGGTGGCTTGGCAAAGAGTCAATTGGCTCCTTGGTGGGTTTGGTGGGAGGGGCTTAGCGGAGTGATTTGAGCAGCAGAGAGAGACGTGGAAGGTTGTGTATGTTCCAACTGCAGCTTTAAAGTAACATTATGTAGTAATTTTATCTTTAAAAAACAGCTTAAAATCCTTTTGATGATACACTGTCTTGTAATAGGGTGAATGGCGTCTGTTATTGCACTGTGTAATACTGGAATCCGTGCAGGAAATCTAGCGTGAGAACTGCATGATGCTTTACGGCACCAATGCAACTCTACAGCAATCAAAAAGTATAAAATGTACAATGTAAGTTCTTTGGAAGATGCTAGCTCGTTATTCCCAGTACGGATTTCATGGCAGAGGCTGTTAAGAGACCAAAGAAGACGTTGGAGGAAGAGAAAAAGACAGAGTGACTGAGCAAGAAACCAGACAAGAGTAAATGCGACTGGGTTTTACTCATTGGCGTGAGCTAAATAGAGCTGAAAGGATGCAGGACAGATGCCGAGCTGGCCTTCTTGCTGTTGGACTAGTCACTAATAACTTGTTTGCTGGCTTGCTGTGTCTTGCGTTGTTGCACTTGCTTGAGCAAAATCAGCCAGATGTTTCACGGACAGAGGTTTAGCTAGCTATAAATCTCGAGATTATGTTAGCAAACTTACTAGATAACATACTCGAACACTGGTAACGTTACTTTAAATACTCCGGCGTCAATTGCTGTCTAGCTTTGTTGGCTAGCATGCCACCCAAGGTTCAAGGAACATTATGCCACTGCTGGTCGAGAGTGGTGTCATGCTGGAGTCGGACGGGCAAAATAACCGGGCTCAGCGAGCTCTACGGACATAACTTTAGCTAATGGCAGAGGTAAAGAGCACGAAGAGGACGTTGGCAGAGGAAGCTAAGAAGAGATAAAGAGAGAGTGACCAAGCAAGAGGCTGATGATGTTGCCAAGAGCTTTGTTAAATAAAAGGCTGTGAGACAGATGCTGAGCTGGCCTTCTTTTTGTTGGACTAGTCAGTAATATTGCTATGTCTTGTGTTGTTGCACTTGCTTGATGTTTGGCTGTGTTAGCAAAGTTGTCGACTTTTGATCGTACGAAGTAATGTAATGATTACAAATGCACGTGTACAGCTGTCTTTGTTTATGACAGCGGTGAAGTACACTCTGAAACAGTAGGGGCGCCAAATCACGCCAAATAATACATAATCTTCCAAGATTATTTAAAAGCCATGGATAATTTTGCTGGTTGAATGTGCTTGCTGTTTAAGGTGAAAACAATACTGTTGGGACGCAACTTAACAAGTAAAGAAAACACACACACATATTCCTATAGCTGTCCATAAATGTTTACCTGTTTCGTTGCAATGGTTATCTCCATGTAAACCAATGCATTTCTTTCAAATTGTGCTGCACATATGAACTCGAACTACAGTGTTTATGTGCGTTGCACTGTGGTTTGTGTGGATCCATGTCAGTGATCAGGGCCCCCCATGCAAAGTTTGCACAGGGACTCGCACCCCTCCTGCAACTACTGTACTTAAGCTAGAAAAACTAACAAACATTTTTTGACAAGAAATACGTGGAAGTGGGGGAACTCATCTCTATGAACGTGAGTGTCAGGGTTTTCTTGTGTCTTAACACAGCTTTGTTGCTGAAGTCTTTTGAAGCACAGAGATGACATTTGTATCCATTTTGTTATTTCAAACTAATTATCTATTTCTTTATTAATTTCTATTTTATGTTAGTTTGTTTTTTTCAGACTTATTTTACTGTCCATACCTGTTATGTGTGGGGAGGAAGAGCGGGAGTCCTTCCAGCTGTCCTTCTTGCCTAAAGAGTTGTTGTTAATGGAGTCCTGGAGATAGTAAATGAGACAGAGCAGCAGTGTGAGAGAAAAAACCAACACACACACACACATAAAGAAATATAATCATTCCAGAATACTCAATGTAGAAATTTAAAAACCAAATGCCAATATTCCAAATCTAAAAACTCAAGTCAGGTCACTCACAGACACTAATATTCCAAATTGATTTAAAGCCAGACTAATGAAATAAAAATACTAAACTGGCACATTTAATGAACATTTAAAAAAATTTTTTAAATGTATTTTATGTTTTTAGTTGCCCACTTCAGAAATTGTGTGGATGTGGGGCGCGTTTAGCTCAGCTGGTAGAGTGCGCACTCCATGAAAAAGGCTCCTTATCTTTCTCCCTCTTTCCTCATTCTATCCACTGTTCTTTCAAATAAATGCACAAAATGCCCAAAGAATATCTTTAAAAAAGAAGAAATTGTTGGAATGCATCAACAAAGTAATAATAAAATAATAATTGTTCATATTACAAAGTACAGTGTAAACTTGCTCTATATGAAGAATGCAATATATGACCTCTGTTATGAATTGGTGCCGCGGCTCAGTCGCCAGTGGTAGGTCGACGCAGCTCTGAATTTTTACACGCTTGGGATGCTGCATAAAGGAGTGAAACATTACCTCCTGTGTCCCCTATGTGGCGCTAGAGAACGCCCGCTAATTATGCGTTATCTCTCAGTACATCAAGCGTGGACCACAGCGTAAAAATTTCATGTAAATCAAATTGTGAATGTCATACAGGGCTTACCTCTGGCAAACTGATGAACAGCTGTACAGTTCTGAACAGAACTGAGCATGTCTTGCTCCCTATAGTTTGAATCTTTAAAATGGCAGAATAGCCTGTGCAGTCCACTCAGAATGGAACTACTAGGTGATTTGAACGCACCCAGGGAGAATCAGAGTATCTCTCTCTGTGTAAAGCACATCTCTATGATGACAGCCTGACGTTACAACAGTCTGTGGTGATTTTTAATGTGCAGACAAAATCTAATGGAGCCAGTTTTATTCTTAACAACAGTCTAGTCAAGGCCAGCTATAATTTTCTGTCTGATACCCAATAATAGCTGTGATAATGTAAGAATGCAGTTGCGGGAGTATAAAAGGAAAATATTGGCCTGTTGGTTCATTTGCTTGTTAAAACTATTGACGCAAACTTTCCAAACTTGTGCAGAAAAACATGTCTTCCTCCCAAACTTCTCATGACATCAGCAGAGTTGTTAAGTTCTCTTGTTATGTGAGCAGGGCAAACGCTTGGCTCATGAGGTAGAGCCCACTAACAGCAAGATCGGCGACCCACTCTGCGTGTCGAAGTGGCAAATATCTTGCTTCAAGGAATTTGCCTTGGGCAAGTTCAGTATCTTGAAGGCTACTGATGTCTTTGTAGTTTGTGGTGTGTGAGTGTGTGCATTAGTTTCTTTCAAATGATGAACATGCTGCTATTCATGACAATACCACCTGCTGAGCTACAGAGACTCCAAAGGTGCCCAGCAACACTACTAAAAGTTGAGAAAGGCTCAACGTAAAGGTGGATTAAGCGATTCTGGAGAATGCAACACAATGAGAAATACCATGATATAGAGCGAACAACGACACACCAAGTAATGTAACCAACGTTGCCTAAGCTGTGGGTTGGCATACAGTCGCTACAGCTGCTGCTGTGAAGCTAACATGCAGAGCAGGCTCCAGACAGCAACACCTAGGAGCACGTCTTGTTGAACTAGAAAGTAAATTGAATATCAGTGGGAAAGTCAATGGCAGGTGTAAACAGGGCAAGAGGGAGAGAGTGCCTAATGACACATAATGATTGAAAGCTCTTTAAAGGAAGAAAAAGATTTATTAAGTTCCAGGGATTAGAAAAAGTGGAGAAAAAGAGACTTTGTTTTCCATAATGTTAAAGATTTACGTTTAGCTTGACTTGTGAGAAAATGGACATTCTTTTTTAAGCCATGCCTGAACTATCTCAACATATACTGGATGGATTTTCATGAAATGTTGTACACACATTGATGGTCCCCAGAAGATCTATCCAAATGACCTAGAAGTGGTGTGACAAGATCTCATGCCACAAGAACTTGTGAGAATAAAAAGTGATGAGACTCACGCAATGATTTCACACAAAAAATAATATACACAACATAACTGATGACGTCGCCTCGCAAAGCCATCAACTCCACCTAGCTGATGCAACACACATGCACTGTGAATCAAGACAGTTGTGGCCGAGTTTTGCAATATCAACATCGAAAAACTGAAGCACAAACTTGCTCTGTTTGCGAAGGTGCTGAAGTTTGCGTGTGGATTTGTGGTGAGATTTCAAGTGTTGTTAGTTGGTTTTGGTTTCCAAACGGTCTGAAGGGGATACTATCAGTTAGGGTTGCCACCCGTCCCTTAAAATACAGAATTGTCCCGTATTTGAAAACTGAATAGCGCGTCCCATTTTGAATCAATACGGGATGCGGTTTGTCTCGTTTTTCCGAGTTGTTTTTAATGCAGCATCCCTTGCAAATCATCCCACCCGCATTCTGTGAATACTTGTCCTTTTCTAACCCAGATTGTGTAATACTCGCTGCTATTGTTGGTTTGATTAATACCAGTTCAGAGCCAATCAGAGTCAGATAAGGGTGGGTTTCTTGTCGAGGAGTCGAGTTGAAATAACGGCGGCAGCTCGAGAAACACCCCACGTCCCCTCTGAAACGAAAGCAGACGACAACGAGAGTGAGGCTATTTAATACACATTTAATTATCAAAACATAGTGCCTATGTGAAGAAAATAAGCAACCATGTGCTAAGCTTAACCAATCTATAGAACTGCATCCTTCAATACTATAGAATTAACAATAGGCTAAACAAAAACTGAAAAAATAAATACATAAATATATTTACTGACCAATCATAAAAACGGTGATATATTAAATGTTTGTAGATGTCTGTGTTCACACCACCCTTTACTTAAGTTCATTTGCAATTTCTCATCCTGTCCATCAACAGCCACATTATAAGCATGGCAGCATCCACTGGTTATGTGGAAAGGATATTTTCCAGAATGACCAACAAAGTGACAGCAAGAACAGGTGCTCTGTGGAGCTCATTAGGAGGGAGCTCTTCATCACTCTGAACTTTGAGCAGTCCTGTTCATAGTTTTACTGTAGCTTTTGAAAGACAAACAGCTAGTCAGTGCTGCACGAGTAGTGTACTTCTGACAAGAAAATATTTATAAAAGGAAGCAGGCCTAACATGCTCCACTACGGCACACAAGACCTACTACTTCTGGTCCACTGATGTTCATGATGTTCATGGAAAAAAAAAGTCTTTCAAATTGAATCAAATCAAAGCATTTGTTTTAGCCTATTTATAGTTAATAAGATATGGGCATGTTGATTTGTATACAGTTCACATTTCACAAGTTCCTCTAAAAACCTATTTTTTTGTGGTCTCACTGTCATTGTAGGCCTATGTTTATTATTGTCATAGCTACGACAATATGACCACTAGTCTGTTGAGTTGTGATAAAGAGAGAGTGGGTTCATCTGTTCACACTGATTTCAATTGCTTATTAAAATATCCATTAGTATCAATCTTAATACTTTCCTGAAAACAGGTTTTAAGTTATGATATACCACCACTGGTACACCAGTGGCTACCCTACTACCAGTGGAGCAATAACATAATGCACAGCAGAGTATAAGGCAGGTAGACTTAACCCCTTGACGCCTAAATTTATTATTATTATTATTTATTATTATTCTTCTCTTAATATTACAACTTCTTTGCAGATTCTGAATGTGCAGAAAGTTGTGAACATGAGCAGAAAACCTGCTGAAACACAGGAGCTATTAAAGTCCAGGAGTTTCTAACTGAATTAAAATGTATTCATTTATCATTGAGGTGAAAAGGTGCCACATGCACATTTAAAGAGGTTACTTCCCCAAACAAAGACACAAAAGAGGAGGGAAAACTAAATCATGGTGCCTCAGCAGGGATGATATTACATGAGAAAAGTTGATCTACAGGAGAAACAGATCTGAAAGCAGCACAGAATGACTGAGAGCTGCACTGCATGATAGTCTGTTATATTTGTATTTATTTAGTAGTGTAAGGGACAGTAATATTATTACAGTTACTAAACAAAATAACGCTGCATTACTGAGCACCCCATGCTTGATGTGACTGCATGAATGTGTGGCGTCAGCTTTTAGCCAAAAAGCCAAAGGAAGAATGGAGAACGAGAGAGAGAGGTGTTCTTTCCACAGCTGGAAGTTGCTACTGACATTATTGGGTCAGAGTCTAAGATGCGAAGAACATTGTGGTTTGTTGGAAACTCTGTGTGACCAGCAAAATGCTTTCAACCGCAAACAATTCTACATTTAATTTATTGAAGCATCTGCTAAAGAAGCACAGCAACATGAAACTTACAGAAAGAAACTCTGGCGGCGACTGTCAGTGATGCATGTACTCGTTGGGAGAGAGTTTTATGATTTGTAAAAATACTTAATACTGCTCTTATACATAAAACCATACTCCTTGCTGCTGTTATGAATATGATATTCAAGACTGCTTTGTTTTTTGGGGGGTAATAAGTAAGTAATGTAATAACATAATGAGTAACATAACTACTTACATTTATTCATTTAGCTGATTCTTTTATCCAAAGTGACTTACAATTGCTATACTGTATATGTCAGAGGTCACACTCTGCTATGGGTTACATGTCTTGCTCAGGGACACATTGGTGTCTCACAGTGGATTCGAACCCAGGTCTCTCACACCAAAGGCATGTGTCTTATCCACTGCACCATCACCACCCTTATGTTATAGGACATAGGCTACTAGTTATAGGCCAGTCTGTTCTCCAGTCAGTCATCAATATAGTCCTCCATTTGGTATTATTAGGGAAGTTCCTGATTCGTTCTGCAGTAATTTCTAGCAATTAGTTCCTCATTTGTTCCTCATTTTCATTCATGTTTTATCCCCTGAGACCAGGTCTTTACTTACTGCTGCATTAAAGGCAGCAGACATTCTTAGCAAGCAGCTTAAGGAAGAGACTGAACTGATGACACAATAACCTTTCTACTGTATATCTGCCTGTCAGCAGATCATCTTCCTACTCTATGTCAGGTTACAGTGGATCATTTACTGTGGAATGATCTGTTACAGTAAGATCATTACTGATAACGTCACATTACAGTTAACCTGTGAGGAGCAGCCAAACCACTAAAGATGTCCTCTTCACAGAGAATGAATTGCATTCCACACCTGGAACTTGATGTACCCGTGATTTAGCTGGTTACGTTATACTATACATCTCTTTAAAAGAATGATTCTATAAAAGTAGTTGAGTTTGTCCAATGGCCATTTTATCCAGTATCTGACAAGAATGTTTGTGTGCAAATGTGTTAGGTGTCAAAGGTGATTAGCCTTCATTCCAGCAGTGGAATATAACCATGCTCAACAGTATGTTGTGCATTTCACTTTTTTCTAAGGGTGTCCCTGACTAACAATTTACATAGTTGAATCAGAATTGTCAAGGATTACCTATAGTCGACTGATAGTTGAATCTGTGTGTGTGTGTGTCGGGGGGAAGCTGCAGAGCTGCAATCTCTATTCATTAGTCAGTGTAACTCACACTGTACATTTACAGCTAAACTGAGGCTTATTGTTGACCTTTTTATCTCGGCTCTGCTCGGCTGCCGAGGGTCTCGTGCAGAGTTGTGTGCATTGCATGCACGTCGCAGTTTACTCGCAGGTCTATTCCAAGTACTGTAAAAACCATTTAATACTCATTGTGTGGTTCATCAATGGTGATAAATGAATCGAAAACTCTGCACGTCACCGGTGCTGCTGGTGCTCTGTCTCTCTCCCCCTCTTCTACCATACACACACACACACACACACACACACACACGCTACGCCACACATGCGCACTGACGCCTCCTACCTTAAGGGTTAGGGTTACAGTTTTAACTTTATTCACACACTTTATAAAGATTTATTAAAAGCTTCTTTTTTCTCACGTTTATTTACAGCACTCTATGTTGATATTTATGTCACAATATGCTGCATATTAACTTATTGGGAGAAAAACAGCAGTTCTGTGTAAAAACAGACATTGAGCACCCCCATATAGCCAAAATGGTATGATCCTTGTTTCATAATGTCTCTGTGAAGATTTGACGGTGAGATTAGGAGTCGAATCAGGCTCCTCCTATCGAATCTTCGACTATTCGGGGTCGCCCCTATACTTTTCCACATGAACATTTATTTACGTGTCTAGTTCAAACAAAATTAAAATGTAAAATTATCAGGTTAGGTCCAAACGGTGCAGATGTTATATAGCTAAAATGTTGCAAGAGAGCATGTGTAACAGTGACATATTACGCACTCTGCTGGTAGAACCTAATGGAATCTGTAGGTTTTTGAACGCTAACAAATTAATTGTTGTTTAACTTTGTTGAAATTACCAAGGGTTTCAAGAGTGCATGCTGTAAGAGGGAGGGCAAGAATGCAGACATATACATTTTTCAGAAACGCAGATGAAAGAAACCTCAATGGAGTCACAAGCTAGAGGAGCAGGCCAGACGTGAGGTCAGAACTTTGATAAAAGGTATTGGCCCCAGCTGGTGTTTTAGTACATATCTGCTGACTCATGCGTTTGCAATTAATCTGAAACTACCAATAATAAATAAAACAAGCTAACTAAATGTTCGCCTGAGTGCTAACAGAATTGAGTTAGCTGTGCTAACTTTTCTGAAATCCAGCAGGACAAGCATGTGTTAATCCCCAGAACAAATCCAAGTCAAGTTTTTGAAATGAATTAGGCCACAATCTTGAAAAAATGTCATCCTCACAGATAGATGAAATACAGGAAAGACAGGAAGAGAGAAGGGTAATTTTTGCCTTCTAGGGTTAGTTTTGGATAGTTCTGCATTTACTAGGTTGTGAATCCAGCGAATCTCTTATCAAACCTTTTTTCTCCGACTATTGCTTTCACTAGTGAAACTGACAAACATCATCAATGGCATGTTCTATCAACTGTAGCTAATTAACAAATGCAACTGTTGAAAGCTAAACATAGCTAGATTTGTTAAGCGATTTGATACTGGATTTGAACCCCAACACGAGCCTATAAAATTGTTTGTTAAATAATATCTGACCACATCTGACCATCTACACTGTATTTCTATTGTATTATTTCTATTATATTATTATTTGGGCCATAATAGACAAAAGCAGTCATAACAACAGTGAAATCAATTTCAATGGAACTGTAAGGAACGTCATTCGGATGTTGATGCTGAAGGGAAACCCAGGTTAGGGAGAAATGACTCCGCTCTGATCGGCACAGACACAATAAACAGGATGCCATTACTTTAAAGGGATACACCACAATACTACTACTGCTGGCTCCCTGCAGAGAGAACTCATTACTATCATCTAGACTTATTTTATGGAAATATTTCTCTTTTGACTTGGTATTATATTAGCCTCTTCCTCTATTCTCTTACTAGAAGATGCTGCTACAGCTGACCCATTTTAAATATACATGGATATATTTCACAAGAAGGCAGAACAGCTTGGAGGCTCTCGTTTTTAACAGCGCAATCAGGGTCAGTCCTCACAACAGCCAGTGTTCTGTCAGTGTCCTTGAGCAAAAGAAAACAGCTACATGATATAGATTGACTTATTTGCTTAATTATTGCTATTCAAAATATAGGTAATTTTCCAAGAATACTGCAAACAGTAGGTAGACGAAACAGGAGCCTCTTTACTGAAGCACAACAACTTACAGCTACAGCTGAACCATTTTCAGAACTGACCCACCGCCAGCACACGCACACACACACACACAGCATACACAAACACAGATACAAAGCTACCTAATGCTGTCTCATCCTGAAGACAGGATCCTCCCAGGAAATACACACACACACACACACACACACACACACACACACACACAGTAGACCATTTATTCATCTTGATGCCACTGCTGCCTCATTCTAAACACAGGATCCACCCATGATTATACACACACTCACACACACTGTAACCAATTTTCCCAGCTCATTTTAAAAACAGGGGATCCTCCCAGCTTCCCTACCTGGGTGCCGGCTTGTGGCAGCTGGGGAAACAGAGCCAGGGTGGTTGGTCTCTTTGGTCGATATTTGTCCATGACAGCACAGGTTGATCTCCCTCCAACAGGCGACAGCTTCCTCCCTCCCTCCTCCTCTTCCTCCTCCTCTTCCCCTCCTTTATTTAGCCAACTGTGTGCGTTCTTTAGCTTGGACAAGCTCCCCCCCACCCTCCTCTACATCCCTCTCTTCCCCTTCTTCCTCCTCAGTCTTCTCAGCATCGATCAGCTCCCAGCTCAGCCTCAGGACACGCCCCTTCCTCTCTCTCCTTGTGTGATCATTGGCTGGCCACAGTGTCACATCATCATCATCACCACCATCATCATCTGCCTGGCAGGAGCAGAGTGGAGCGCAGAGGAGAGGTAGAGAGACGGAAGGAGGAAGACAGAGAGAGCAAGAGATGGGCGGTTTCGAATAGAGATGGGGTGAACGAGGATTGACAGAGAGAAGAAGGCAGGGCGGAGAGACAGAGATGCAGAGATGGAGAGAGAGGGGGAGGAGGAAGTTAGGACCAACCAATCAGAGCAAAGCATGACATCATCAGCTCATCTGCCTGTGGCGCTTTCTGTGGCTAATAAACACTGTGTGTGTGTGTTTGTGTGTGTGTGTGTGTGTAACTCAGTCATATAGGATTACACAGTGACAGTAATCCCATCGCCGACAGACCAGTCAGTTAGCCAACAAGGCAGCCAGTAAACTAGTCATTGAACCATTTAGCCACCAGCTAACTAGTCATTCAGCCAGCTAATCAAGCAAGTAACAAACAATACATTAAGTCAGTCAATCACTCTTTTAGTTCATCCACCAGCGAACAAGCCAGCCAGCAAACCAGTCATTTGGCCATTTATCCAGCAACATTCAGCCAGCCGGCAGCTAACAAAAAAGCCAGTCATGGAGTCAATCAACAAACCACATCAGTCAACCAGCCAACAAACTAGTCAAGCAAAAGATCATCCAGTGAACCAAGAACCAGTCAGTCAGATACTGTAGTTACAGTAGCTAATTATATTAGCTATCATTACATTCAGTCAGTCGGTCAGTCTAGCGGCAATTTAGCAAACCAGTCAGCCCATGAAACAGTCAAGTCTTTCACCCAGAGAGCCATTTAGTCAATGATTTGGTCATTCAGGCAATCAACCAACCAGCCAGCAAACAAGTCAAAATATTACCCAGCAAAACAGTCATTTAGCCATTCAGTCAGCTGGCAGACAAACAAGTCAATTAGTCATTGTTTTAGTCCACCAGCTAGCCAACCAAGAACCAGTCAGTTTTTCCACCAGTGATTTATATTAGCAAACTGATCTCCCAATAGGGAGAATAACGTATTAGTTGGGAAAGGTATAGGAACTTGGGTTGGACATATTAAAATACTGTTTCTTTTCCACCATCCAGTATGATATTTCATTCAAGTGGTGATGTTACAGTTACCCACAGGCAGGGAAGGTCAGTGATTCTGGGGAAAGATTGTTGATATTTGAATTATCAGCCAAACAAATACGCTCCTCCTTTCAGTTCTCCTTCAGAAGCACCGCACCCCAAATTAATTGATGTGCTAAGGCAGAATCCAGAACATCAGTCAGCCTCAAAAAGGGCAAGTAATTTTTATCGCTATGAAAATACAGGTATGGTTTTTTGTAGCACTGTAGCAAGTGTGACAAAAGCCTGTCAGTATTTAAATAGGCGTTGAAGCCAAATAGCAGAACCGAGTCGTTGCACTTTCCGGACTATTCGCAGAGTTTCCACTTGACAATCGCAATCCAAGAATAAGTGGACGCAATTTATACATTTTTAAGAGTAGCCTATACGCATCAATTTTCACATGTATACATTAAAATTTACATGTTTAATTACTCAATGAAAGTGACTTTAATGAGAGACTGCACTAATATGAATGCATATCATAGCTAGCTTTCCACTTCTTTGTCTAGCCAATGACAATATAGGATTATGTGAGTCATAAGCTATTGTCAAATCGGAGGTAGAAATATGAGATGTCTGGAAAGTTTTGACACTACACATTCAAATTTTTTATTTTGCTATTCAAATGCTTTTTTTGTGTGTGTGAGAGAGAGTGTGTGTCAGTGTGTTGAAGGCCAGTTGAGGCTCTGATGATGAAAAATACTGGTTATATATTAGCCTTCAATATAATATGTTATGTTAGGTTATTATCTTGTTCCTGGTTGAAAAGAGAGACAAAGGGGATCCAGAGAAAAGAGAGAAAAGGAGACAGAAAGAGACCAGAAAGGAGACTGGGAGAAAAAAAGATAGGATGGTGTCACGGTTTGGTTGTAGTCTGCCTGTTTCCTGTTTTATTTTGTTAACATTTTTGTCTGGTGTCCGTTTCTAGCTTTGTTTCCTGTTATTACAGTAATTCAAACAGTGGCAGTAATCGCCTCTTCCTGGTTGTCTCTTCAGCAGGAGGCAGATGCAAAAGATTGGGGAAGGCCCTTTTTATACACAGCCTATGGGCAGGCCCAAGCAGCTGCTTAGGAGCTCCAGCAGCAAACCATTAGGATGAGGGGGGAGGAGAAGCATAAACAGTGCTGAGTGTTACATATGCTATGTTATTATGTAAATATTACATTTTCTATGTTCTATTTTTTAATGTTTGTCATGCTCTTGGGTTTTTGTGTGGTATTTTTCTGTTATTTTGATAATGTCCATTCCTGTTTTTACTCTTTGCCTCTGTTTTTTTGTTTAGGTTTGGTTAGTTGATCATTGCCTCCTTGTTCTCTGTTGCATTTGGTTTCACAGGTCCTTGTGTATTATCGCTAGCTTTACTTCCTGTTTTATTTTGTAGTGATCAGTTTCATGTGTTTTTTTTTGTCTAGCTTTGTTTCCTGTCTGCTTGATTGCTTATGTGTCTCACCTGTGTTAAATGCCCTGTCTGCCTGTGTGTATATATTGCCCTCAGTTCTGTTTAGTCCTCGTGGTGTCATTGTCATATATGGAGTGTTCTGCTGTGTACTCTGTTTCCTTGGATTTTTGGATTACCTTGCCTTTTGTAGGATTTAACTTGTGTCTGGATCTTGTACTAACCTTGTTGGAATTACCCTTTTGTTTGGACTCTTGCCTTGAGAGAAGTAGTAAGCCTGTTTTATTTGGACTAAATAAATCTTTATTTGAACTGCAACCTCCTCGTCGGTGTCTGCAACTTGGGCCCACACCTCTGTTCCTCTGCTGCTGCACTCGGCCCTTTCTGACAGTGTTGGCATTATGTAAATATTTATTATGTCATATCGCTGTGGTCCAATCTAAGTGGTTTTGTCCACCTGCCATTTTGATAATCTGCATCTGCCGGTACCTGCACTCACACTCAAGGTCAATACGTGATCCTAAATGACAGCAAATCTAATCTCGCACCATTCTCGGCTACTGATAAATATAGCCTATATTGTAAAACTGTACAGAATAATGCAGTGACATCACTTGTGACAAACTGTGCCCCTCGCTCCCTTAAACACCAGTCATGTTCTGAAATCTGCAGCAGAACTAAATGTATTTTGGGGGTATTTTAATGAAGTTGCAGATGATGGCGAAACAGGTGGTAGTAAAGTATGCAACAGCAGTTTCGACTTGAGTTCCAAGAGAAAAGGGACAAGCAACAGCAGGACCGAGATGACTTTGGAAGGGATACTGACAGTGGTGAACCTGCCAAAGGGCTCAGCCTGGTTAGTCAGCAGACATGGTTTTTGAAATACCATCATACAAAATAAACATCTCCCAGCTCGTGGATGGAGTTGGTCGTTAATTAATCGGTACATTAATGGTGGGTGTACAAACTACAAAGTAGCAGCAACTATGACGATGTTCTCTACCACCCTACCTGGTTCTCCTCTTGTGTTGTCTACCTTGCTGTTCTCCTTCTGTATTGTTGCCAAGTTGCCAACTCCTGCCTGTACGCGCACAGTGGGTGAGGAGAGGGAGAGACGCTGACTGACTCCCAGCAGCATGTGTGGGAATAAAAAAGAATATAGCTGCAAGCAGCAATGATCAGGATCCAAGCATGTCATGAAAAAAGCGACATTTGACATTTTCAGAGGAGAAGACCAGATGCAGATGACTTAAGAGATTAAAGTGATGAAAGAATTTGGACTTGAAGCCAAGCTTTTTCTGAAATAATTTCAGAATCGCAAACACCTTTTAGTTATTTATTTATATAACTGTTTTAAAAACATGGGCCAATGATCGGCCCATAAAGCGGGCCCATTGGGCCCACACTGGGCCGGCCCAATCACATCTCTTACCAGCCCCCACCCCCTCAGCTCTCTGTTTCATGCATTACACATGAAGGGAGGGTCACTGACATTGGGGACATGTAGCAACCACTTTTTGAAAGCATTTATTAAAACCATTCTTAAAAATAGCTTGCTCCAAGAAATGTTAATTAACAAATAAAAATGCTATGAGAAAGGTTTATTTGCACAATGAGCCTACAATGTAATGTAAATGTAGAAGAAACCTCTGCATTGACCAAAAAAAGCAATAGTAAGCTACCCATTATTGCATTATATTGTATTATATTTTTCACCTGCCACCTGAATTTTGTTCTTCTTCAGAAAATTTCCCCAGAATGCAGGAAATTAAGTGTTTAATGCTCAAAATCTTCTGGGGGAGGACACCCAGACCCCCCCCCCCCCTATCAACTATTTCATCAAAAATTATTTTCCTTCTAAATAGCAGGCCTATTAAAATATATTCTTGTCTTGTTGTCATGGCACCAATCTTGTGTAATGTTACATCTCAAGTGTTTCGTCACACCCTTAATCTGAGCCCTTAAATGGAAGGATGGTGTATTGGTGAGGGGTGACCAACCGATTTTGGTGGGCCGCCTGGGCCAAAAATGCCAGGGCTGATTTTTTTGTCCCAGTCCAGCCCTGGGTTATAAGGTGAGTCCGCAGCATACTTGCCAGTCCTCCTCCGCGTTTTTCGTTGCCCTCTCCTGGTTTCCTCCTGGGGTTACCTTATTTCCCCCGATGTATCACAAATGTTCACAACTTTCTGTGCTTTTCATAACTCTCTGTTAAAAAGTGCTATAGTGTATAGGCCACCTTCATTTGCACCTATACCATTTTCCCACCATTTTGGTGAACACATTTTTTTCTTTTTGTACATACTTCAACCAATCAACATATCATGCTGACAGGCAGAGCACAGCTGCCCCTATCAATGTCTTTTTATCGGTCTTTTCCAAGAAAGTAAAATAGCAAACAAATGACATTTTTAAGAACAAAATGACCAGTTTCAAATGCAACAAAAAAGGGACATCTCTAGGAGTCTCTACACATCAAAATATATAAAGTCATCATTCACAGTTATATGGTGTTAAATCTAATGCATGAGTCAAATTGAAAAACACTGCACAGACAGTAGCAGAAAATGTAAGCTTGTCTACTTTCCTAACAGTGTTCACAGACATTTTTTACACCTCACTGCCAGCCTGCTTCAAAACCTCCACTGTCATCCCTGTCCCAAGAAACCAAGGACCACAGGACTAAACCACTACAGACCCGTCGCCCTGACCTGAAAGTCCTTTAAACGCCTTGTGTTGTCCCACCTAAAATCCATTACAGACCCACTCCTGGACCCCCTGCAGTTCGCCTACAGAGCCAACAGGTCTATAGATGATGCAGTAAACATGGCCCTTCACTACATCCTCCAGCACCTGGACTCCCCAGGAACCTACGCCAGGATCCTGTTTGTGGATTTCATCTCTGCTTTTAACACCATCATCCCGGCCCTGCTGCAGGACAAGCTCTCTCAGCTGAACGTGCCTGACTCCACCTGCAGGTGGATCACAGACTTCCTGACGGACCGGAAGCAGCAGGTGAAGCTGGGAAAACATGTCTCTGACTCCAGGACCATCAGGTCCGGTTCCCCTCAAGGATGCGTTCTTTCCCCCCTTCTCTTCTCCCTGTACACCAACAGCTGCACCTCCAGTCACCAGTCTGTCAAGCTCCTGAAGTTTGCGGATGACACCACCCTCATTGGGCTCATATCAGGTGGGGATGAGTCCGCCTACAGGTGGGAGATCGACCATCTGGTGACCTGGTGCAGCCAGAACAGTCTGGAGCTCAACGCTCTGAAGACAGTGGAGATGGTCGTGGACTTCAGAAAGAGCACAGCCCCACCCTCCCCCATCATCCTGAGTGACTCCCCCGTCACCACTGTGGACTCCTTCCGTTTCCTGGGCACCATCATCTCCCAGGGCCTCAAGTGGGAGCTGAACATCACCTCCCTCACCATGAAGGCCCGGCAGAGGATTTACTTCCTGTGGCAGCTGAAGTTCAGCCTGCCAAAGACAATGATGGTGCACTTCTACACCGCCATCGAGTCCATCCTCACCTCCTCCATCACCATCTGGTACGCTGCTGCCACTGCCAGGGACAAGGGCAGGCTGCAGCGTATCATTCGCTCTACAGAGAAGGTGATTGGCTGCAATCTTCCTTCTCTTCTGGACCTGTACACTTCGACGACTCTGAGGCGAGCAGGACAGATTGCAGCTGACTCCTCCCAACCCAGACACAAACTGTTTCAGACTCTCCTCTCTGGCAGGAGGCTGCGGTCCATCAGGACCAAAACCTCTTGCCACAAAAACAGTTTCTTCCTTCTGCAACTAGCCTCATTAACAAGGCCCAGGTCCCCTACTGACACTCCCCCCTTGCAAATGATACAAATGTCTCTGCACATGTAAATACTGTTTCATCTCGTGACCTGGCATGTCGCACATCTTTGTTGTTGTATATTTTTATGTTGTCAGTTTATATATTTATATGTACACAATATTCTCTTCTGTTGCGTTACTTCTGCACGGCACAGACCCAGAATAACGCTCATGTATATATCTGCAACGTTGTTCTTCTATTCCATATTTATATATTTCTACATTTATTTAGTCGACTGTATGTATGTCTGCATGTAGCACCTTATCACCACAGCAAATTCCTTGTATATGTAAAACACTACTTGGAAATAAAGCTCCTTTTGATTCTGAAAAGAGACTTAAGAAATGAATGTCAGCTGGATGGAGGAACAAGAGGCTGTGAGAACAAGGTCTCTTCTTGTCCTAAGCATACTCTTTCTTTTGCTTCCTGTTGTTGGTAATCTTTCTGATGCGAGTTTTAGATCAGTGACTGGTTTCCTGAGGGGACGAGACAGAATCGCCTTCTAATCAAAGTTTGACTTCTTGTGTGTCAAACTTTGATCAGAAGACTCGTGTTCCCGGTGAAAACAAATGGTCCAGGAGTTTTTGTGACAGAGGCTGAAATCTTGACATTGTAGGCCTCCATCAGCAGTGGGCTTTTGTGGGGTGCTCAAGGTCACACAGAGAGACCTGCGAGCCGGAGTCTTCAGCAATGATCATTCTCATGAGTGTCCTCTGAGAACTGCTGCAAGTGGATAGGATGGTATGAATGGAGGACCACAGCAAAGTGTGTCTGCGTTTGTCCTCAGCCAATCTCACAGGCTCTTAAAATGTGATCTATTTAGGAACAACTATGGATGGCAAAATGGCTCTTCTCCCCGTCCATCATAGAGGAGTCTTTTGGTATTTGAAAATGGAATGGCATAGGCAACATGAAGGCCCTTTATTTATTTGAGAAAATAAAAAGGCAATACAAATATGTTCAAGATATGAACTGGCAGAGATTAATTCTTGCCAGCAGGTGGTGCTGTTGTTTTTGTGTGTTGCTATGATTGAATCTGCTGTTATTTTATGGAAAACGTGAGTATTTTCATTCATTAACATGTCTTAAATCAATTATCGATGACTATTTTGGCATTGCAATGTTTCATGTTAGTAGTATTGTGCCATGGTAACTATGTGCAACTTCATCATCTTTGATGCGATTATGTAATGTGCAGCTATGTTTTATTTATGTGAATTACCCAAACATGTTTTGTAGTGTTTATTACACAGAACTGCTAAACGCATGTAGAAAGTACACCTTAAACTCCCATTTCAATCACAATGCCTTCAGCAATTTTAATGAAAATAAACTCTTTTTGTACAATACAAAACAAATAAATATCCATGTAGCCCACAGACTGTCCTCTCGCACCACAGAGCATCATCCTGTTGTTAGCTGGAATGTACAGCAAAACCCAAGTATCTGATTAGGGCTTGTGTTGAGGCTAAGTGGGAGCTGTGAGCTTTTCTGACCTGTGACCAGTTTAGCCCTGATGGGCTGAAGTCGGGGTTCTACTGGCTGATTTGCTCTTTTACCTTCTAGGATTCAAACTTCACAGTTCCCGCTAGTTTTTAACACCAATAATATGACACCTGCACGGGCTGAGAGGTTTGTCTTATAACAAACTATGATCCCTCTTTGAGGAAATTTCGACCCATCCATCTATTTCCCCAGGGTCAGAAGTGTCTTCTTTTTTGACCCCTAAATCAGACATCAACAAGAGCGTTCTCCATCACTGTTTTCCCATCTGAATATAAACGACTGCCTCCTAAAAACAGGCCCAAAATGTTCACAACTGTACACAGAATGGAGCTACAACATAAAGGCTAGTACATCTGTCTGGAGCTGAACAGTAAGTTTTTGGCCTGAACAGGACCCAGAATCATGTAGACCATCATTCTGGGACTCAACCATAACTTGTTAAATCTCATAAACCACAATTTTGCAAGATGTTTACAGCAAAAAGTCAGAATACACTGCTTTATCAAATTATTTTCAGTTCAGTTACAGAGAGTCTAGTGCAGATATAGGACAGTGTGTTTTGGCAGGCAACATTCAGGCTCCTGCCCAACCTGGTTTCTAAGGAGAGGACATTTGTAGAAGCAAGAGGACAGTACAAGTACAGAGGTGCTATTGCTAATGGCCAGACTATGTTGTATTGCGTAAGAGTGGCGGTACATAATGTTGCTTCTTACTAACTGTGTGTGTATGTCTCAGAGAAGGAACTGTACAAGAGAAGATTACTCATTAATTATTACTTTTAGGATTATGACCTCCTTCATTTCCTCAAATAAAAATATCTGTTTAATCATTTACAGTATTTCTGGACTGCTTCTGTTCTAAAATGTGCTACTCTTATTTAAATGATTGTCCAGACAATATTTACATTTTTTCCAGGACTGGGATAAATTTGAGTAAAATGCTTTTTTACTGCCTCCACTTTTGTAAATGGCAGCATTTATATAGCGCTATTAACCAAAGCGCTATACATTCACCCAATCACACACTCACACGCCGATGAGCGTGAGCCATCATGCAAGATGCTGGCATGAGCATCACGAGCAGTTTAGGGTTTCGCGTCTTGCCCAAAGACACTTCGACATGGTGACAGAAGGAGCTGGGGATCAGCTGATGACCCGCTCTACCTCCAGTTGTATGCATGCTAATGTACATTTATGTTGTCCACATATCCAGAACCCTGTTCCTTGTATTCCTTATCAGTCCACTTCTCCAGGAAGGACGTTTAAACATTGTTCTTTTGAACTCCACCTGAAAGAAAAGCCAGAGAAGAAAACACCATGATACTTCCATGATACTGCACACACATAATCTTGTAATCTTGCAGGTCACCCCGGTAACGCAGCCAGCGCAGTTGAATAAATGCTGTTATAATTTTAAGAAGTTGTTGCCTGTGATTATTTGTGTATAATCTTGTAGTTAGAGTTGGTTACCACGGCCAATGTGCAGATTCACTCTTCTGTTTGCCATCAGTAGGTGGACAAACCCTCTTTTAGACTGATCATATTTGGTTATTGGTCCCTGATTCCAGGGTGGTGCCCCATATTAATTAATTGTAATTAATAATTTTGAATATTAATAGTTTAATTAATATTTCTAGAATATCTTTGATATTCAGCTAATAACCAAACCTGACCATATGTTGAAAACCCCAACATGTGTATTGTACCTGGTATTACTGCTGATGTCCTGCAGTCTCTCCAGAAGTCGCCTCCTCCATTCTCTCCTCATCCTGCTCAACGTCCTCCTCCATCCTCTCCTCCCCTTCTGCTTCCTCCCTCTCCTCCTCCTCCTCTGATCTCCTCTCTCCCTCCCTGGCTGCTGGAGTGCAGATCAGTCGCCCTCGCTGCCTCTGGCTGCGCCGGACCTTGCAGGCAAGGCCCTTCCTCCTGTGCCCCAGAGAGGAGAGAGTTGCGGTTGTTGCGGGACTGAGGGACGAGGACAAGGTGGAACATGAGGCTGCAGGGGACACCGATAGTGGGCAGTGGGCTGGTGAGGAGTTGATAGGTGTGGACAGAGGATTGCTGGCAGTAGATGTTATGGCTGCAGAGGGCTGTGTGCGTGAGCTTGATGAGGGGCAGGGTGTCTGGGAAGGGTGAATGTTCACTGCGTCCTCCGGCTCGGGATATGGGGCATAGGTGGAGGATGCACAGACTGTGGACGAATCAGGCGCTGTAGAGCAGCCAGCTGCTTCACTGTCAGCAGGACCTCTGGGAGGAGAGTCTAGGAAAACACAAGAAAATAAATAATGAGCAGATATTGTGAACAGTTTGACTGTGACACGTGTACTAAGTAATAATTATGCTAATATTTTGTAGATCCTTGATGGGAAAATAAGATTCTTGCTTCTGTGTTTCCTCCTACCAGGGCCACTGCTGGTCTGCGACTCATCCGTCATTGGTGGCTCTGCCTCCTCTTGGATGGTTGGTACTGATGCTAGTAGACCTGACACACACACACACACACACATACATACACAGTGATGTAATCCTCCTCCCTACCGTAAGGTGTATCTATATAAAAGTGCTAAATTTACTTCCACTCCAACGAAGGAATCTGTAAACAAAATGTTCAATTTTAATTCAACATTTCATAATTCCTTTTACAGCAATTGTATCTCTTCATGATTTTGTTGAAAGTGTAAAAGAGTGAGAAAGGCAAGCAGATGGATCTTTGAATTACAGTCTGGCTCCAAATGCACGAAGTAAAGAAAATATCTGCAAGACTGGTACAGGAGGAGAGAAACATTGGATATGTGGCTCCTGTTGTGCAATATCATTATTTTCTTAAGTTAGTATTTAACTTTTACATGTGAGCTTTGTATGTGAGGTGTGCATGTTAAGGAGCTGACATCATACAGGAGCTGTTTAAGCAGTCATAATCACACAGGGTTGTCCATATTTAGTCAACGATCTATTAGAACAGGGCTGACTCAATGCCACAGGCCACTGAAATATTAATTATGATGTTAAGTAAAGACAACTTTACTGTGTTCACTCATTTTAAATGTCGACACAGCCGTGGTCATTAACCTGTGGTTATGATGACCGTTTCAGGCGATGACATGGTTTAAGGAAGGATTTGCAGTGCAGCACAGCAGACAGCTGTAAGTAACTACTGTGTCCAGATTCTGCATCACACCTCTTTTCACTTTCATGGAGGTTTCCGTGTACTAACTTTACCTCGAGTGGAGGCTTTCAGGTCCTGCTGCGTGCTATTACTAAAAGGCTTCAAATGGAGTTTTTAACTAAAACTAGAACATTTGATCGTATCGCGCACGATTTTGTCTTGCCTTCATTGGCTCCCTATTCATGTCAGACAGACGTGCCTCTGATGACTAACAAAACTGTATATGGCCAACACCTTCCAGACGGTCTGATCTCCTAAACCTTATACTCCATTCTGTGTGTGTGTGTGTAGTCTTGTTAGTTCACTTACTGAGTCCTCTGTAATGGGAGAGTTGCTGGTAAACTTGTTTCATTCTCTCTATGTTGAGCCTGCTGCCCTCTGCATGATTAATCATTGGTTTGGGGTAATCCACTCCCACCACACAGTTGGCTGCCTTCTGGACCGACTCCGGGGCATTCCACGGCTCATAGATGTACCGATTCGGGTAGTCTTTCAAGATGGGGATGTAATGCCTGAAGAAAAGTCATATTAAAGCTCACATGGAGGAAAGATCCCTAAGTTAGCAGAGATTTAATATGGAAAAGGATGTGGTATGGTAAGAGATACTGTGCAAGTGCCACAATAAAGTCTACCTGATGTAGTCTCCTGATGGGTCAGTTCTCCTTCCAAAGCCGACAGGACAGTAGCAGTGGAAGAACTGCTGGAAGAAGGCACTGCAGGACAGCCACATCCAGCTGCCAGCATTTACACTCCAGTCTGCATCCAGCAGCAGCTCCTCAAACACCTGCAGGAACACACAGACACAGAATGCTTCATGATGTACACCAGGACTATTCTATCACAAATTCAATTGGGCCAGATTTTGAAAGCAGGAGGTGGAGATGGGCCGGACACTTTCTCACGAGTTGGGATAGGTATCATTAGGATTTTGATACATTCTTATTGATAGTTTTTCATTACTAAGTAATTGCCTTTTAAAGATTTAAAAAAAGAAAACATTCAAAATAGGATTAGAATGGATTTTTTTATTATAACTAAATGTTTATTAATAATAACAGTCACTAATATCTCACTGGAAGCAAATCTAAAAAGTCAGTCAAATAAATCATATTCCTCACATTATAATACTGAGTGAAGTTTAGAAATACTGATAAACTCAGTCCTTATCGGTCCTTCCTCCTCCTCCCTCTGCTGCTGCTAGTAGAGAGGGGCTGGTTTGTCTCAGCCAGCAGCAAAGTTTATATACAGGTGAAACTTGAAAAATTAGCATATCGTGCAAAGGTTTATTTTTATTTCAGTAATTCAACTTAACTTAACTAATATATTATATAGACTCATTACATGCAAAGTGAGATATTTCAAGCCTTTATTTGATATCATTTTGATGATTATTGCGTACAGCTTAGGAAAACCCCAAATTCTAAATCTCAGAAAATTAGAATATTACATGAAATCAATAAAAAAAAGGATTTTAAATAAAGAAATGTCCGCCCTCTGAAAAGTATAATCATGCATATGTACTCAGTACTTGGTTTGGGCCCTTTTGCATGAATTACTGCCTCAATGCGGCGTGGCATGGATGCTATCAGCCTGCGGCACTGCTGAGGTGTTATGGAAGACCACGATGCTTCGATAGCGGCCTTCAGCTCTTCTGCAGTGTTCGGTCTCATGTCTTTCATCTTTCTCTTGGCGATGCCCCATAGATTCTCTGTGGGCTTCAGGTCAGGCCAAGCACAGTAATCCCATGGTCACTGAACCAGGTTTTGGTACTTTTGGCAGTGCGGGCAGGTGCCAAGTCCTGCTGGAAAATGAAGTCAGCATCTCCATAAAGCTCGTCTGCTGAAGCATAAAGTGCTCTAAAATGTCCTGGTAGACGGCTGCGCTGACTCTGGACTTAATAAAGCACAGTGGACCAACAGCAGCAGATGATGACATGGCCCCCAAACCAACACAGACTGTGGAAACTTCACACTGGACTTCAAGCATCTTGGATTGTGAGCCTCTCCGTTCTTCCTCCAGACTCTGGGACCTTGGTTTCCAAATGAGATGCAAAATTTGCTCTCATCAGAAAAGAGGACTTTGGACCACTGAGAAACAGACCAGTTCTTTTTTTCTTCAGACGTTTTGTTGTTCAGGAGCGGCTTGATTTGAAGCCCGTGTCCAGGACCCGTCTGTGTGTGCTGGCTCTTGATGCAGACATCCACACATTTGAACGGCCTTTTCCTGACCATCCTCTCCAGGCTACGGTCATCCCTGCTGCTTGTGCACCTTTCTCTTCCACACTTTTCTCTTCCACTTAACTTTCTATTAATGTGCCTTGATACAGCACTTTGGGAACATCCAACTTCTTTTGCAATTACCTTTTGAGGCTTTCCCTCCTTGTGGAGGCTGTCAATGATGGTTTGTCAGGTCAGCAGTCTTCCCCATGATTGTGAATTCCACTGAACCAGACTGAGAGACCAATTAAAGGCTCAGGAACCCTTTGCAGGTGTTCTGGATTAATTAGCTGATTAGAGTGTGACACTTTGAGCCTACAATACTGAACCTTTTCACAATATTCTAATTTTTTGATTTTGGGGTTTTCATAAGCTGTACGCAATAATCATCAAAATTATATCAAATAAAGGCTTGAAATATCTCACGTTGCATGTAATGAGTCTATATAATATATTAGTTTCACCTTTTTAAGTTGAATTACTGAAATAAATGAACTTTTGCACGATATGATAATTTTTTGAGTTTCACCTGTATGATAAATTTTAATGTACGCAGCAAACTAAGCTGAACAGTTACTAAAGACAGACATCTTGCACTTTAGCTTGTTTTGTGTTGATTGGCTTTTTACTCCCAAAGATTTTATTGCACCACGTACTTTCTCGTCCACTAATGAGCATAGTCACTGATCTGCTGGCTGACTCTGTGCGCTCGTGGAGGCGCTCTGCAGCAACACAGAGGGGGACAGGCTGCTTGCTGAGTCCTGGCTTGGCGGTGATCGGTACAGTGCATGTGAAACTCTCAGCAGAGATGAGAAGGAAATGAAATAGCGCTCTCGTTAGCTACTTCCATACACTGCGTATGGAGTTTACTTTTGTTGTCATATATCAGATTATGTATGATGGGACACACGGAGGTTGCTTCTGGGCCAGATGTGGCCTGCGAGTCGCCAATTGAATAGGGCTGATGTATACCCATTTATCAATTCATACTACAGTGAACTTGACACAAACAGCCATTGATGCTGCCAAAGTAGACGGTGTAAAAGCAAACGCGGTTCATGTGTTCTCCGCCTCACAGTTTGTGTTTGAAAAGACTAAATTAAAGACGGTTCTGTCCTACCTTCATGCCGCTCTCCCAGCTGATCCACAGGTCTCCCCTGGTGAGGAAACAGGCCACGGCATGTCGGGCCAGGTGGTGGATCCAGCCCTCCTGTCTCAGCTGGGTCATGATAGCGTCAATCCAGGGAAAACCAGTCCGACCCTCAGCCCACTTAGCCAGTGCCTCTGGGTTCTGGTCCCATGGGATCTGGAGATGTATGACACACGAGAGAAATATTAACTATAGTACATACTCTTCTGTTATGTACATGTTTATAGTGCTATAGCTGGTTAGTACACAACACTGGTTCTATTTCAGATTATTTATCATCTGTGAATAAACAGCTTCATTAAATCTGGATATCCACATGAGCTCATGGTCAGAAAAGGAAAGAGGGGAGGAATAAGATTTTACAAGTTTAGCTGTGGTGAAGCTGGAAGCTTGAGTCTGAGGGACAGCTGTGGGGGAAGGGAGAGAGGATCAGAGAGGAAATCAATCATAATTTAATTAACTTTGCATCTGATCTGATTCTGATAAACGATGGTATTTATGAGCCCCTCCCCACAAGGCTGTGCTCTATGAACTACTTATTATTTCTTTATTTATATTATACTTATTATTCTAAATACCAGCACTAGGTGTGATCTGAGAGGAGCAGACTAGCAGAAACCCCGGCGAGGGGAAATGCAGTTCAGCCGGGCTACTGACAACACATCCAATACAGGCCGAACAAATCTATGAGTATTGTGGTAAAACATACTATAATCATGACTATTTGGATAGTTCAGTTGGACCACAGTGCTTGAGAAGCTGCCCTTTACATAAAATGTCTCACCCTCCTATAAAACAGCTTCTGGCCTCATATCCATAGGACATTATGACCTACTGTAATGGTCTACAAGAGCTGATTGGTGCAAAGGCCCACCTGGACACAGATGGGGTTTCCCTCCATGCGGTCAAAGTTTGGGTTGTTGGTGGCAGCTGTGTAGAAGAACTCCCTCCATAACAACTGGCCAAACAGGGACAGAGGAGGACTGCAACGCTTTCGGAGCTGATGGCAGGCACAAGAAAGAACGAACAACAGAGGAGAGAAGAAGAGAGCAGTGGATTGTCATAATTGAGAGGGAACAGAGTGGAGTATGTTTGTGTAGCCTGAACTGATATCTCTCTGAGTATCCACAGTACCTTCATGTAGAGCTCTCTGAGGTTGTAGTACAGAACCCTACAGGACAGACAGCCGAAGCGCAGGTAGGGGCTGAGGCCAGTAGGACTGGCATACAGAGAACACCTGTTTACTCGAGGATGCTCAAAGTTGGCTACCCACACCTGTACGGACAAACACAGTGAGGGCATTCAAGTCATCACCCGAGATATCGACATGTAAAAACACATCTTTTTCAATTATATTGTTATGATGTATAATGCTGTGGATTAAATAACATTAGTCCCTAAACATAGATATTAATCATATTAAACTACTTTAAATTCTCAGATAGTGGCCAGGACCTTTACTCCTCTACCTACAATTAATATATTTTAGTAAGAAGCCTTCCTGTTTCGTGCTCCTGTTTTCATTTGTTGATGAAGTTAACGCAATTATGTTGCCTTGATTAATTCACTTTGGTGTACCTTTTCAACAACAACAACACGATCAAGTCAAAGTCTTGACTCATTCACTCATAGTTTCTCTACTCTGACGCTTTTTAGATTGTAGTTAAGCTCCCATCATTGAAACTCAACACTTCCTGCACCAATGTTTGACATTAAAGACCTTTAATGTCAGCTTCTGGTTTACCTTTTTGTCCAGATGTTTGTTGAGTCTGTCTGAGGCCTCTGACTCTCCTCCTCGCCACACAGCTGGAGGTAAACCCTCTGTCCTGAACCCTGGACACATATTCACATGGAGACAAGGTCAAATATAAAGCAGCCATTATCTGATGAACCACACTTTGCCCAAGTGCTAACTGTTCTCTATATGCTAATCCCCATTTAATAATTTTAATGTGACTATTATTTACTGTATGTCTACGGACCTGAGGAGTTTATTACAATTTATGGTATTTTATTTACTAAACTTCTGAATGGAATCTAGCTTGATGCAATTGCCACACAGGAGACAAGGACACATATTTGGACTAAACTGCAACTCCAGTTGCTCTGGTAGGATACGAACACAGCGTGCTAGTGTTCAGTTGCATCCAGCAGTGTGGAATTATTTATCAAATCAAACCCAACAGTAATGAATAAATCCAACCACGTCCTCTCTCCTAGATCCTAGCTGTCCCTCAGTATAGCCAGAGAACAGCTAAATGTAAAGAGTAAGGAGTCCTACAGCCCTCATATTCAATTCTAAAAAAATTAATGAAAAACAATCATGTATACCTAGTTCTTCCAGTGAAGGGATACTGTATAGTTGGTCATGGTTGTCAGCTATTTTAGTGTGACAATTGTCCATCTGCTGCTTGGTGATGGGAGGCAGTGGTCTCCTAGGCAACTCCAGTCTGCTCACAATGGTCTGAAACCGCTTAAAGGTCAGAGGAGGACTGTTGTTGTTCATCTCTATTATCCTGTGACCAATACAGAAGATAGAAAAGTATAGCAATATACAGCAGAATTTATGTAACATAACAATTATTTATCTTATGTAAAATGTTGACATTTTGTCATGAGTGTTGCACTGGAGAGTATCCGAAATGAAAAAAGGTTCATCATGTCGTCCGAGGGTGGCCAGAATACCAATAACAGTGTCATTTCTAGGAATTCTTGCCAAAATCTTTTCTCCATTTTCCCCCCAAGACTGACACCTGTGGGGACCGACCGACCGACCGGCCGGCCGACACCTGTGGGGACCGACCGGCCGACACCTGTGGGGACGGACAGGCCGACACCTGTGGGGACAGGCCGACACCTGTGGGGACCGGCCGACCGACACCTGTGGGGACCGACCGACCGACCGACCGACACCTGTGGGGACGGACCGACCGACCAACCGACCGACACCTGTGGGGACGGACCGACCGACCGACCAACCGACCGACCGACCGACCCCTGTGGGGACCGACCGACCGACCGACCGACCCCTGTGGGGACCGTCCGACCGTCACCTGTGGGGACCGACCGACCGACCGACCGACCCCTGTGGGGACCGAACGACCGTCACCTGATTTGTGGTAACTGTGTGCTTAGGTTTAGTTGCAGTGGTTTCTGGTTTCTGTGCAAGGAATTCACAGGACAGAGTATTTTGTCTGCCCAATTTTGCTGACTTGCTCAGATCTTGTTGATTTTTGTGCTTCTATTATGGTTAAGTGGGCTACATAGTCAAATGGTTTCTGTTTTTGTCCATTTTAATAGTGTTTATTGTTGATATACAGGAGTCTCCACAGGATGTTTTATTTTGAAAATTGACAAGAATCTCTATGCCATTCTGTGTCTGACTTCGTGCCTCGTTCGATCTGCTCTGTGCAGCTTGACATGGCTTCGGCAGTACTCTACTGTTTGAACTTCTGAAATGCATCCAAGAGTGATAGTTTCATCAAAAATTGTTTCCTATCATCACTGAACTATACCTTCACAAGTAACTAGGAAACTGAGCCTCTTTTTTATTTCAACCTCCAGGTTGTTTTGCCAGTGCATCTGACAGCAGAGCTCTGTATTTATAGCTTCTACCTTATACAACTCCACTATATCTGTAAGGCCCTTCTGGATCCCTGGTGGAGTTGCAGCAGGGATAGCTTCCTATTGGTCGATTCACTGCGACTACTTTGATGAGCAGGGTAAGCTGGGCACAAGTCCACAACTACCAATATAAACCCTCTGGGCATCTGAGCACACGCACAACGCTAAGCTCCGTCCTGTCTAATCCGCTCAGAGTATTCTTAACACACACACAGACGTAATATTTCAATTTGTTATGTAATGCAGTGAATTGAAGTGCAGGTATTACATATGTAACACCTGCAGGTCTGGATACTCTCAGTGTACAGGCAAGACACAATTTAGGTGCTACTGCCTCAAAAGCACCACAGGTGTTCAGCCGTCTGCGTGAGACAGACAAATATAGCTTATTTGACATAAGAGAGCGACCTGATGAGTAACGGTGAAGCATTTCAGCCACATCTGCAGGAGCCTGACTGAGCTCTGCAAGTAAATGGACACAATCACATCTACAGAGAATTTAGCCAACAGAACATATTCAGGGATCACAGGAAAATGCCAACAAGTAATTCATCATTAAGGCCCCTAGGAGCCGATGTTTGAGGAGTATGAATACTGGAATTTTAGCCAGTGTGTCACACCATAAATTGATGCGGAAAGATTTACCTGAATGCAGGAAATTAAGCGTTTAATAATTTTCATAATTCGGCTTTTAAGATCTTAAAATAATGTTACAATCTCATCTCGATCTCAGGACCTCAGTCTTGTGAGCTAAGTGTCTCGTCATACCCCTACTTCTTTTTATTTATTAATGCTGATGTTTCACTTGCCATGTAGATGTATTGCTACAGGTCTATCTACAAATTTAACATGCAGCTTTTGGGAATGTAGCTTAGCCTTTGGAATAACATGCGGCCATGCTAGTCAATGAGTCCACAGCGCGTCCCTGATGCAGCTCTTCACTCCGAGACACAGCGAGTCTATTTTTGACAGAACCGGCGTCAAGCTGCGCAGTTCACCTCAAACCAGACAGGAAGTCAGACACAGAACGGCATAGAGACTCGGTCAACTTTCAAAATAAAACACCCTGTGCAGACTCCCAATCGTAAATCAACCATAAACACAGTTAAAACAGACAAAAAAGAAAACATTTAACAACATAGCCTACTTAATCATAAAAGCACAATTACCAAATCAACAAAATCTAAAATGTCAGAAAAATCTGGTAGGCAAAATTACTCAGGGATCAGCATAGCAGACGACAGAACACCAAGTCACAGAGAGCCGTGCTCCGCTCCTGAAACTGGTCAGAGACACTTCCAGTCGACCCCGGGGCCCGCAGTAACGCGATGCAGCCAGACTCAGTCGACTTTCCAGGTAAGAGCTGAACTAGAGCGGCATCTGCAGGGATAAAGCCATTTCTGACGATAACATCAGCGTCTTTGCTGGGTGGGTGTTCCCAAGCATACCTGCTATTTTGGTTCATACATGTGCAGCAGTGCAACAATTTGAATTCTACTTTATCTCATATAATGAACTGTCATAACATGCCTTACAATGGTGTTTTGCACCATACTAGATTTCAGGAATAAAACACGAATCGCTGATGTCAGTGTTTACCAACCCAAAGTGAGCACAATATGAGTGTGTGTGTGGGTGTTACGAACCTATCCAGGTTGTAGAGGGTGTGTGAGTTTCTGACAATGGTCTCCACTCCAAACTCTTGGGCCATTTTGATGATGGCCCCATCTCTCTCCTTCCCATAAGGCTCTGGGTCATATTCAAATGTCAACCGAGTCACTTCCCACTCCTGCAGCGAGGCACAGAAAGAAAGAAAGAAAGAAAGAATTTGTTAGAAAGACAGCAAGACAATAGCAGGCTGTGTAGCAGGGCTGAGGATAACTATGTAAAAAACCAAACAACACTGGTCATGAAACCATTGAAGTGTTTGGATTCAACATTGGTCTCAGCTTGTGCTTTCTGTAATCCAGCTCAAGGTGCACCTTTATACAATGCAACAAACCAGGTCACAGTTAAATGTAAAATACATGCTACAAGCTACAGTTTGAAGACTAATTGTGGACAGTTTGGACAGAAAGTTCTTTCTCACCCGTAGTTCAGTTCATTTGGTCCAGACAAAGCTAAATAAAAAGATATTTTAACACAACTTTAACTTTTAGTTCTGGTCCGACGCTAATTTGAACAACCCAAGAGGAGTAAACATGTCAAGCTATAATATTGCACATTAGCCTCTGCACATATTGAATATGATATGGATATCTTTTTTAATTTTTCAATCTTGCAACTTATTGATTAGTCAGCAACTATACAGTAGTTTAGCTTTTGAATGCTCTGCTTTCAAACCACAATAAATTCCCAACATTCCACTTGGAAGTAGACAGAGACCCTCCTTTTCAAGCTGTCTTGGTTGTTTGGGTTGGTGGATTGTACATCAGAGTAGGACTGACAGCTTTCACACCAGCCCCAACAAACCAAACGGGATTATGCACCAGAGTTTGTTCATGTGAAAAATTGGTGGGGTGATACATTTCTGTCACATGTCTATAAACAAAAAGTGTTATTTGCAGGTAACTAGTCTTCTAAGGGCTGGAAGTGAAGGCTGGAAGGAGAGCCATTATCCTCATTATTATCAGTTCTAATTTATTAAGTTTAAAAAGGCCACAGATTTAGTACGAATATATGGACACTAGTACAAACATAAGATCAAGTAGTGGAGCAGGAAGGTCCAATTTCTTGTAAGAAGTCTTGTGATTTATATTTTCATCCCATTCAAACTCTATAGTAGCTCATTTATCTGACCAGTAGGATGTGTTAATGACAAAGCTACAGTGTTAGGTTGGAATGAAAAACTGCAGACTATTGGGTTTCCATTGCATATAATGGAAAACCAGCAGTGTTTTATGTAATTGCTATTGTATAGAGATGGTCAATTGGTCCTCCTTGCCTGGAACCCCACAGTGAATCTCCTCATAAATGTTAACACCGTCTGCAGCTGCTCTAACATGGTTTAGTGCAGTGTGAACATGCACACTATGTAAATTATACTGTATTGCATTGACATTCAAGTCACTGAAATAACTGAAGTAAGTGTGTGCTTAGTCACACAACACAATAATCATGTTTCTTGGCACCAACTCAGTTTCAGTGATTGTCACTCCTCCAAACAGCACCACATCAGGGTGGGTTTAATACATCCTGAAAACATTACTGCTGGTAAGGCTACAGGTGCAATAGCTCTACAAACTCACTATACATGACCAGCAGTTGACTCCAGATGAATGATAATGTTCCTTTGTAATTATTGGATGTATAATTATTGAATTATTGGATGAACTTAAAAGGTGATATGTCAATGTTGTGCTCGCAGTTTGCTTCTGCTGTCCCCGTAAGGCAAAAAATAAAATACTTTTTCTTTATTGCAGGTTTTCTAAACCTGTCTGTTCTACTCCAAACTTTGGTACATTTACCATATTTGGTCATGGTTTCTGCAGAGTCAACCATGTTATGTTTTAAAGCTTTTTAATGTCACAGAGAATGGCATTTAATACCTGGATCACTGTCATACCAGTCAAAGTATGAACGTACAGTGGCAAGAAAAAGTATGTGAACCTTTTGGAATATCATGTTTTTTTTCCTGCATATATTTGTCATAAAATGTGATCTGATCTTCATCTAAGTCAAGGGTACTGACAAATATAATGTGTCTAAAATAATAAAGTAAATTCTGATCCCTCATGTCTTTATTGAGAGCAACCAAACCTCATAGTGCTTGTGGAAAAAGTTTGTGAACCCTTGAGTTAATGAAAAAAAGCTAATTGGAGTTAGGTTTCAGCACACCTGGAGTCTCGTTAAGAAAATGAGTTTGGAGGTGTGGACTACAATCTACTTTGACTGATAAAAACCCCTCAAACTTTTGGAGTTTGCTCTGCACAAGAAGTACACGCTTATGTGAGCCATGCCTCGCCAAAAAGAGCTTTCAGAGGATCTACGATCAAGAATTGTTGGTTTACATAAAGCTGGCAGAGGTTACAAAGTCATTTCAAAGACTTTAGAAACACACCAGTCTACAGTTAGGCAAACATTTTACATCTGGAGACACTTTGGGACTATTACTACTCTACCAAGCAGTGGGCGCCCAGTCAAAATGACACCAAGAGCACAACAAAGACTCATTAATGAGGTAAAGAAACAACCCAACCCAAATCCTTTTTTTATCCATTTTTTTGGATAGAAGCGTCAGCTAAATGAATAAATGTCATGTGTCTACATGTCGTAAAACATTGAACAAGCAGAGTATCTACAACAGGACACCACGAAGGAAGCCACTGCTTACTAAAAAGAACACTGCTGCACGCCTGACGTTTGCAAAAGAGAACATTGGTGCTCCACAGCAGTACTGGCAAAATGTTTTGTGGACTGATGAAACTAACATTGAACTACTTGGACAAACCACACAGCACTACATCTGGCGTAGAAGGGGCTGGGCATTTCATCATGAAAACATCATCCCAACCGTAAAGTATGGTGGAGGAGACATCATAAAATCGGGCCAGCTTTGCTGCATCAGGGCCTGGCCAGCTTGCAATCATTAAGGGGAAGATGAATTCCCAAGTATATCAGACAATTCATCAGGATAATGTGAGAATGTCTGTACGTCAGCTGAAACTGTGTGGAAGTTGGGTGATGCAACAGGACAACGACCCAAAACACCGGAGCAAGTCCGGCTTAAGAAAAACAAAATCCAACCAGTTGTTGTTGAATGAGTGTGTTCAATAAAGACATAAGGGATCAGAATTTACTTTATTTTAGACACATTATATCGGTCAATACCCTTGACTTAGATGAAGATCAGATCACATTTTATGACAAATTTAAGCAGAAAACCATAAAATTCCAAAAAGGTTGACATACTTTTTCTTGCCACTGTATGATGTTGTAGCCTGAATGGGAATGACATAAATTACGGAACATTGCGTGCAATAGGTCTTCTAATCCCTCATTTGACTTGTATGATTGGTGTTCAGACTTTATTATGGTGTTGACAGATCACAAGTCAAGTTATACAATATTCTCTACAGTATTTCGAGGTATCAAACAGATAATCTTCAGCTTTGGCAAACATTTCAATGGATAGTATATTATTGTCTGACAAGCACAAACTTTAAGTCAATATCACACAAGTTCCTGCTTCACCATGGTCACTGGTCTGACGTGACTAATGTGTCGTCAGGATAACTTCAGTAATCTCTACACTATTGCTTTGATTACTTGAGTAATTTTATTAGGTGATGTTTCGCATAACACTTTCCACACTTTTCCTGATGAGCCTGTTCAGTCTGAAATGAGACTCTGGATTTTCCATTCCAGTTAGAGGGTTATCTTAAACTAGAAAACCTACTCGCTGGTTAGATATTAGTTTGTTAACCAAACATGATCTTAAACGCTTATGATCCATCTGTCATCAATGTAAGGACTGCAATCGCCATCTTGGATTTATCCTCGGCACAGAATAAAATGCATAGGCTACACCGTCCTTCTTTAGAACACTGCGACTGTGGATATCAAGGCAGCTGTCAGGTTGTCACCGGTTGCACTGAAACATTTACCATGTGCTACATTAGTGCAGTATCACTGTTTGAATCTAATAAATCTGAACATTCATTCGTTGTAATTAGATCATAGTTATCACGTTGGAGATGATGTGAATGTTTGAGTGAGGATGATTGTGGTGCAGCTGAAACGACTTTAAAAATGGACTAAACATAGTTTAAAAGTGAGTCTTTGATAATTAGCTGCTTAGTCTTATTGTGTTTTGACAGTATTTCATTAAATGCCAAATGAGCAAGATTTTTTATGTAAAACAGACGTCTCAATTTACACTCAGTTTGAACAAAGCCACATTTTCCACTGCAAATCACCAAAATAATTAATAATGGGTCGGACTGTGACTGTACAATCACATTTCAAGTTCAGTTATCACAACCAGGTGACACAGGATGGGAAATTAATGTGTTGTTTGAACATTAAAGCATGTAATTGGTATATTAGTACACCAGCAGCCATACCAATGTAAACCATGCTACTGACTGAAGCTAAGCAGGTTTGTGCTTGGCCAGCACCTGGATGGGAGACCTCCTGGGAAAACTAAGTTGCTGCTGGAAGAGGTGTTGGAGGGCCAGTAGGGGGCAGTTTTCCCTCTGGTCCTAAATAATAAGACCTCAATGATGGAGACACTGTGCTGTACGAGCTACCGTCTTTCGGATGAGACATTAAAATGAGGTCCTGACTCATTGTGGTCATTAAAAATTCCATGGCACTTGTCACAAAGAGTATGGAGTTCTAATCATCCCCTGTGGTAATTGGCTTAATGTTTCCCGCTCTGCCTTAAACTGATGTGTTGTGGCGCTAAGTGGGTGCTACACATTGGCGGTGGTTGAGGAGACTTCTTTTGGTCGTGAACGGTTGATGTTTGCATGGTGTATGTTTTGTTGGACAGGAATACAGACCTTTAAAAGCCTTGGGAAAACATCAGTAGGCTGCCCTCTGACTACAAACAATCTGGAGTTGAGCTTCTTCAGACTGCTGTCCAGGTCTTCCAGAGCCTCCAGCAGAAACCTGCACACAGACACACATAAGGGAAATGTAATTAGTAAGAAATATGACATACCTACAAGTCAGCAGGATGTGCAGCTGTGATGGCATTGATTGTTTTTCAGCACAGAGATGGGACCATTTCAGTCTGTAACGTGCTTTTCATACAACCCCCACTCACCGGGTGATTTTTTATTAAAACTGACAGACTCAGGAATTCTGCTTCTATGGGGCAAAATGCTGACTCCAGCACCACAGCCTACTATCAGTAACTGTGATCTGAGGCTGTGGTCACTGTGTGAATGCTTTTCCAAACTGCAAAAACAGCACAATAAAAAGTTGGTGAAGTTTACGAGGTTTGACAAACTGTTGCACCTAATTGTCCATTTGTAGATTTGTATTCTTATGCATCAATGACAAAGTCATTTACTAAAATCTTGTCAGAAGCTTTTGGACAATTAATTGTGAGTCATCTTTCAAAAAAAAAAAAAAAAAAACATTTTCTGGTTCCAGCTTTTCCAATGTGAGCATCTGATGTTTTTTTCTTGTTTAAATCATTGTAATATAGACTGTTTTGGAGTTTAGGATTATTAATTGGACACAACAATCAATCTGGAAAACTATTTTCAGACTTGACATTTAATTTTCTAAGTCAGGGGTATTCAATTAGAATTCAAAGAGGTCCAGTTAGAGAAACTTTCCTGAAGCAAAGGTCTGGAACATCAAAACAACTAACATGCGTTATCATTCAGTACCATAACGTATAATTGTATCAACATGTGTTTTTAGTCAACAACAGACTGTCAAATCAAATGTCAGTTTTCACATCAAACTGGTGGGATAATAAATAATAACTACTCTAATAATAAATTTAAGTAAACTAAAATTAAGTGTCTAATTTTTAGAAAAAATGAAATAAAAAGTGTAGCTTTAAGTGATGAAGTGCAGTCTTAACCAATTTTATAATAAACACATAACAAATGAACAGAGAAAGTAGGAGCTACCTCTCCTACTTTCTCTTGTTCAGTGAGAAACGTGAGCTCTAGCTTGTCCTGCCAGCTAGCATCAGAGTTCTATGACCTATTCTGATTTTGAACGTACATGTAAAAATCTGTACATTCTTGATTAAAAGCCATGTGAAATCTCTTTTCCCTTTCGTCTCCTCAATTCGTGTGTGCGCGGGTTAAAATAGAAACGCTCCGTCACGAGGTAGGAAGTTTCAATAATAAATCTGCTGTAGGTGGCGGTCCGGAGAGGACAGCGGCTGGGTCCGGATCTGGACCACGGTCCGCCTATCAGTGACCTATGGTCTAAGTTATAGACCAGACAGTTAATTGATTAATTGAAAAAAAAAAAACTAATCAACAGCTGAATCAATTATGAAACTAGTTGTTACTTGCAGCCCTAAAACTGCCTCACATTAGTTGGCTGTGTATAGAAGCAGCATGAGGTTGGTTACGTTTGCATTAACAAATTGCTGCTGCAACAACTGCGCCTCCAAGCTCAGTTTTCTACCAGGAGTTGTTGATGAAAGAGTGAACATATGGTTGACATTAAAGGGAAATAAAGCAATGATGATGGTAATGAGCTCAGCCCTGAGGCATGAACCATCCCAACCCTGGTAGACGGGTCAGAAAATCCTTCAAGTGGTGGTTCCAGGTAAGAGTCACTGTGTCAACAAGCTTCCAGCTTCCTAAGGAGTCCTCCAGTTAGCTTACATTTATTGAGCCAATTAATCATTAGAACCTTCATCAACCAATCAGCACAAATGTTCTTTAATTCAACATTTAGTAATACTGAAACATAGATATAGACATAGATATAATTGGTCTTCCCTCCTCTTTTGTGTCTTCTAATCAGCATGTGGCACCTTTTCACTTCATTGACAGGTAAAATGAATTCATTGTAATTCTGTTAGAAACTCCTGGACTTTTAATAGCTCCTGTGTTTCAGCAGGTTTTCTGCTCATGTTCAAAACTTTTCGCACATTCAGAATCACAAATGTGTGTTCTCTGACATTGATATTTTCTGTATAAATTAATAATAAAAAATTGTAATATTACAAGATACTGATGATAGTATCCCCTTCAGACTGCCTGACAGGCACAGAACCATTTGGGAGTGCACTGGATAAGTGCGCGCTCTTTATTGAAGGTGGAAAACTAAAACAAACTGAAAACACTTGTGATCAGGCAGAAATCCCACCACAAATCCACACAAATGTGAACTTCACTAGCTCTGATAAAGTGCAGCTTACATTCCCTTCAGTGGGAAGCAACCTGGAGCAGAGAGACAGTCCAAAACAGAGCAAAGTGTCTCGAACTACACTGAGACCACACTGCAGTCCAAACCTTTTACAAGTCTAAATACCTGGGGACTGCAGGAAATACTAACACATGCACATATGACTCCAAGAAACCTCTTAAATGCCTTATTTTCTGGTATATTACACATTTTCTGATAATATTATTTTTACTCAAGATTTTACTTCAAAATCTCAGATTACTATCATTTGTTTAATGACAAATGCCCTAATAATCTGTCGTAGTTGACAAACTACAATTCCATCTTTTGGTTACTACAATTCCATCTTTTGGTTTATAAATAGTTAGTTATTCTCACAGTGGTTATATATTATTTTGATAGAACATTATTGCTAGAGACAATTCAGTAGTCGCTGGATATTGGTAGGAATGTGCAAGGCCAGCCAGTGGCATAGGCAACATAGGCCGCTGCCAAGGGCGCAAAATATCAGGAAGCTCTGCACAGAAGGATTTTGATTTGGCACAAGCACGAATCAGCTCCGCCCAGCCGCTGCGACGCCGGCATACGCCGAGATAGTAATTAAGTGCACCTCGTGCTGTGAGTCCTGACAGTTCTGAGGAGTCGTGTCGTGTAGAGTTTTGCAATATACACATCTAAAACCTGAGGCGCAGCCTTGCTCTGTTTGGGACTGTGAGCTACACTTTACTGGAGCTGCTGAAGTTAACATGTGTGTGGATTTGTGGCGAGTGTTTTCCTGTTGGTTTCGGTTTCACATGCAACATGCAGTCTGTGCACTGTGTCGGCCAAACGGTCTAAAAGGGATAATTCCAGCGGAGCAATAAGGAATGCACAGCAGAGTATAGGGCAGGTAGACTAAAAAAAATGATGAATTCTAATTAAATAATTACGTCAGTCTCGTAATATTGTGACTTTTTTCTGGGATGTCAGAGAACACGTGGAGATTCTGAATGTGCAGAAAGTTTTGAACATGAGCAGAAAACCTGCTGAAACACAGGAGCTATTCAAGTCCAGGAATTTAGAACTTTAATTAAAATTAACTTATTTGAGGTTAAAAAAAAAAAAGTGCCACATACACATCCCCGAACAAAACACACAAAAGAGGAAGAGCCTTACTGCATTATATTCTATTATTTTTTTATATTTTGAATTGTCACCTGCTGCCTACATTTTGTGCTTTCCTTTACATAAATTTAAACTTTTCCACTATAAATTGAGGCATAAAATTGGTGCAGACATTTTCACCAGAATGCAAAAAATGAAGTCTTCATTTCTTCAAATTTTCTGGGGGAGGACCCTCAGACCCTCCTCTTCATTTGAGTCCCCTCCACCAGTGAAACTAAACCAATGCTTTTACATAATGCAAGAAAACAGTTTCTGGGTTGACACACCGTTTATGGAGGTTTGGTCTCCTAATTTAGTCTATGATGTTGACAAGTATGCTAATCACACTTATTCCTTATTGACCATGATTACTGACTTGGCTGTTCATCTATACATGCTAAAATTGGGAGTTTGGCTGCTGAACTTTTAAAACAATTCCTGAGGATAGAGGAGTGATGAACCCAACCACTGAGGTGGAATTTTTAGGTTTGCGTATGGGGGCGCCAATTTAAAATCTGCCAGGGTCCAACATTGCCAGGGCCGGTGTTGGGGACGTGTCAGTCCCTACACAATTCTATGCCCGAGCAAAACACACTCGACTTATTAAGTCCAAGCCACATACTGCGCCATTCAGTGAGTTCATAATAAAAAATAAATTTCTTAAATAAAATGTCGTTATTAAGCAGCGATTTGCGTGTTTTTTCCTCTAACTTACGCATTAACGTAACGTTAGTTTATTCATTAAACGTTATTTATTTATTGTAACAGTTATTTAGCAGTTCCAGCGTATGCCGACAGGTCGACGGGTTCGATAAAGAAGTGATCTTCTTCTTGATGAGGAAACTTTGACGACACACGAGGATAACATTAAATAGTCCGTTTTCTCTGTGGTGCTTGGCGTTGCATGCTCTCCATTTTCAGCTAGCGTTAGCGAACCGACATGGAGAGGAGGCCCAAGCCTAAAGTCAAAGCGCTGCACATTTATAAAGCAATGAACCATACAGGTCATACCTCATAAAGAGTGCGCACATAATCACTTATGTTAAACGGACGTTTAATGGGACTTAAACGGGTCACAGATAAAGATAAGTTGCCTACCTCCATCGGTTGATTCCCACGTTAGCGGCGCCAGCAAACCACGGGTCCAGGATATAAACACAGCGAACTGTGTCAGCTCCATTCAGGGCCTCCTGCAACGCCGGATTATCGTGCAACCGCAGACCTTTGCGAAACCAGTGGACTGAATTCACCACCATGACTACTTCTTATTCCATCATTAGAGGATAATCCAGAGGGATAGGTCGAAATGAAGCCAAAAAATGCACTGATTTAAAGGCTAAAACAGTCACAGTTTTGGAGACTCCCAAGAAACTTCATGAGCTGTAAAACGCAAACCTACACTGAGGGGGCGTGGATACTGCGCTGTGTTTAGATGTTATTATCCCTGCATCTGTCCGCTGATTGGCCAGATGGTAAAACGTCTACATGAATGACATAGCTGAAGAGCTTTGATTGGCTATGGCAGCGAGCAGCGGCGAGAAGCTGTGTCACGTTTCAGATGGAGCACTGTCAGGCTCCATCTGATATAAGACTGTAGCTAGAATGTGCTCGCAGTTTTCACACGGTACATATTTACAAAGCAGCCTGCAAATTGTACACTCGGATGAGCTAGCTGGTTTTAGAGCTTCTGGGTGATGGAACATTTTATATTGCTCAATTCTTGCACAACCATGAGCAAAATACTTGCTGTTTAGAAAGTTATATAATTGCACTACTGAAAGTCACTTGGCTAGGTCTATTTCCTAAAGTAGAGACAGTGATGGCTGCGTTTTGCTTTTGCAGGTCAATACTACATTTTTCGTTCACTGAAAAAAATCTCATCTTGTGCTAAGCTTTCTAAATCTGTGAATGAGCTGCCCAAACTATAGAAACAACTAAAAAACAAACTGCATCATATGCTGACTTAATAATCCCACTTGTCAAGATCAGCACTTTAGTTTTTTAACTCTTCAGCCGCACTTACAGTGCAGATAAAATGTAGGTCACTCAAGTACACACAGGGGTATGTTCAATTTAAATGTGAGGGTGAGGTATGTGATTCTGGAGAAATCCAATTCCATGACAAATACCAAGATACAGAGCAAAAAACAACACAGCAAGTACTGTAACAAACATTAGCTTAGTTGTGGGTTAGCGTACTGTCACTACTGCTGCTGTGAAGCTAACATGCAGAGAGGATGACACTTGCTTTTGGTGATGCTTCTGTGTAGTTATCATCCTACAAAAGAGACCGATTGAAGCACTAAAACCTTGTACTTTTCAGACCTGACCGTAAACCTACTTACTGTTTTGAAATGTTTTTACATTTATTTGCTCCAAAGTCACTTTCACAAAGCCTGTCGCAGCCGCTCACCACCAGCTGTTATTTTATGGTAGAAAAGTTACATAATGTTGTGTCTTTGCTGTCTAACGTTGTTGGCTATCTTGCCACCCAAGTTTCAGTGGCAGCAGCAATGTTAGCTAGGCTGCTTGGGGACATAACGTCAGCTAATGGCAGAGGCGAGGAGACCCAAAAGGATTCACAGAGTGACCAAGCAAGAGGCTCCCGGACATTGGCAAAAGCTTTGGTAAATAAAAGGCTGCAAGACAGATGCTGAGCAGCCATTCTTTCTGTGGACACACAGAACTAGGCTAGTGAATAATATTGCTATGTCTTGTGTTGTTGCACTTGCTTGATGTTTGCCTGTGTTAGGAAAGTTGTGCACATACAAGTGTTTTGTTCAGCCATCGTGCTGACACGTACACAGAGGAGGTGTACTTAGTGGTATTTATTAGAACAAAACTGTGAAAACTTAAAGAGTCGAGGTGAAGTAGAAAACTAATAAACAAAGCAAGGTGAATCCAGAGACAGACAGGTGATAATCCATGCAACTGAGTATAAATCCACAAAACACTGGGAAACACGAAGGGCAATGCTGGTAACGAGACATCCAAAGAAACACAGGTGAACAATGGTGAAACAGTAGTGAACAATAAACTGGCTACTAACAACAGGAAGACGACAACTGATAGCAGGGGTGAAGACAACAAGGCACAGGGTGAAACACATTAGGCAATCGGGGAGAACAGATGGGAAGCAAAACATGACATCAAGGGCAGACAAACTTCTAAATAAAACAGGAAATATGAAACAAACCAACCACCCCAGAACCGTGACGGTACCGTAGTACGCTAGAAAGCTGTAGACAGACTGAAAGTTAGCAGGCAGGGAGGATATCTGGTTGCTAGCAGGCTGTGATATAGCCTGGTGGTTAGCATGCTGTGGGTGAGCAAGCTGGTGGCTAGTTGACTTGAAATCCATCTAGAAGCTAGCTAGCTTCATAACAGCCAGACAGCTAGCAGGCCAGGATGAAGCTTGGTGGCTAGGAGGCCGAAAATTAGTCTGGCGGGAAGCTTGCTGAAAACTGGAAACCTCGGGCTGACTTGCAATGGAGGCTGGAATAACAGGCTCAGGGTGAACAGGTTAGGGTTAGAAAATGGAGTTTGCCAAGTAGTTCTTCCTGCATTCAGCACCATCACTTGACATGACAGTGTGACAATCAACTACAAACTAGTTCAGCTTCGATTTCTAGTTTTTGCCTCTGGGTGTCAGATATGGTTTAACCAGAACCCAGAAGCAGATAGAGACGGGAGGCCTTTTCACTGACTTTATTGAGAGGCAGGCAAGACAAGGTGGGAGCGAGTGACTGAGCTTGGTGGCAGGCTCGACGATAGGCAGGGACGGCAGGCAGTGTGTGCTCCTCCAGAAAAAACAGGCAGGTATGGGCATAAGGGAAGGCGTCCTCTCCAGACTAAGAAAACCAAAGACAAAGTTAATCACAAGGCATAACAGAGAACAATGGCCGCAACAAGGCTGGGTGCCAGCAAAAGACCTACTCTATACAACATAACAATCCAGCAAAGGCTGAGGAGAACTGCAGGGCTTATGAAGCAGCACAGAACGACATGATATGGATCAGGTGTGCTAATCAGTCTGCCAGACAGGTGAGTGAGCCAGCCCCATGCTTCCCCACCAGTCACGCCTCCTGTCAAACTGCAAAGGTAGAGACCAGGTAGCCACAAGGAAGAGAGAGAGGCCGAGCGACAGAAAAACCAAAACACACCAGCCAGCCTCACTCACTCAGAAACAGAAAGTAACAAAACACAGACAACCACACAGACCCTCCCAGCATAGTCATAGTTGAGACCTCGTGACACTGGGTAGCCAGGGGGAGTGCTCTAGATGCTGCTCTCTTTGCTTGTAATGCAAACTAGCTACATTTCCAACAGCAAAACCCATGACTGCAGAAAATATTCTGGACAAGGATACATTTTAAAGTATTTTTGCTCACTCTGCAATTCAGATGTATTTATTTGAGCCAGAGAAGAAATTCAGCAGACAAAGTGAGACTGCCGCTGCAGTCGCAGACATGGAAGAGGATATGGCCCCGGCGGGGACCATCCACAACCTGAGCCGCAGAAAGCAAACATTGTAGTGCCTTTGCTCAAGTTGCCCTCCAATGCCAACAGAAACTGAATAATTTTGCCACAATGAATTTCAGCTTGGTCAGCTTTTGTTGGATGGTGTCGCAGACGCCAACTCTGAGATTGCCTGATTGTGCGATACTATGCATGAAAGTTTTGCTCCTTACTTGGACAAGCGTGCTGGAGACCTTCTTAAGGATTCGGAAGATAAAATGGAAAAGACAACCAAGACCAGCAGGGCATAGAGGGCAGTTGACCATTGAGTAAGTTTTTTTTGTCACCTAAAGCTTTGTTAAAAAAAAAGAAAAGAGGAGCTGAGGTATATGGAGTAGGAAGACGTGGACAGACTTGCACATTCTGCTTAGAAATTCATCCGACAGTTGTTCGGAAACAGTCGATTGGTCCTCGCTGCCCCCTGGTCTCTGCACGGTAAATGACGCCCAACAAAGCTGAAATTAGGTCTGAATCTAAAATAAGTTGTGACACTCAAAAATCAGGTCCACATTGGGCTAAAATTGTACAGGGTGTGTGCAGAGAGAGAGCAACTTTTCATTTACCATAGCCAGCAGCACGAATGTGTGTTACGCCCCCAAAATTCAGTCTGTGTGGACTAGAAGCTCTCAAACTCAGCCTCTGAGACTGGAGGCAGGGTTGAACTGGGACAAAAAAATGGGCGCTGACATGATGATGACATATTTAGTTTGATGTATCGGTGTCGCCAGGTAATTTTTCTGGGGCTCCAGCCCAAATGTTTTGACAGTAGCCTCGAATGTAGCTCAACAACAACAAAAATATTTTATGTACGAATATGCAAGAATCTTCATGCACAGCATGTCTTGCAGGAGACCACTCGCAATAATATTGCTACATTTTGTTCAAAGTTCACGTAATGTGACCCCCCCACCATTACTCAGCAAGCATTTAACGTGAGCCCGAGAGGAGAGAGAGAGAGAGAAATGTTGACAACACACAGACTGAGTGAACACAGCCTGGCCATAGAAAAGGGTCGCCACAGACAGAGCTGGCTACCACAAGAGGAGAGACTCTGCTCCCAGTGTGACAGGAGACAGGTAGAGACAGAGCTGCGCTTTCTAACCTCATGCCCTAAATGTAAAACATTAAGAGAAAAACACTTTGAAACTCCCCTATTTACTGGGAGAAATGCCCAAATGTGAAATAATTGCTGCAAAATATGTCTAATCAGGCCACGAACTGAGGACAACCAGTGGGAACTCAGAATAGACTCATAAATATAATAATAATTCTGAAAAGTTTTCAAATTATTGTTTTCATTGTCTTTTATTCACTCACTCACACACACATTTAGTGTTTTATTGATTTATTTTAATTTAATTATTAATATTTATACTTTATTTTTATTTTATTTAACACACACTTTTACTGTTTTATTTACTTTATTTTATATAGTATTGTATGTAGTATATGTATTTTATTATTATTATTATTTTTATAGTGATTAATGAACTGTATAAAATGAATTATTCTTTTGTAATTTTTTTGTAGCTTTGGCAATATTGTTATTTTAAATTCATGCCAATAAAGCTAAATTGAATTGAGAGAGAGAGAGAGAGAGAGACTCACAGCTTCAGGGCTTGTCAGTGACTAATGAATTGTCCCTAGCAATACTTTTGATCAAAACATTTAAATGGTCTAAAGGGGATTTTACACAAATGTGGAAGAGATTCGGAATGTGCAGAACGTTTTGAACATGAGCAGAAAACCTGCTGAAACACAGGAGCTATTAAAGTGCAATGGTTTCTAACTGAATTAAAATTAATTTATTAATCATTGAGGTGAAAAAGGGACACAATCATATTTAAAGACTTTACTTCAGTGTTGACTCAGCAGCGTTGAAATGTTGA